AATTGACAAATTGTTCTATTCTTTGCGAATCTGGAATTTGAATTTGCAAATCTCTATCTACTTGCAAGAAACCTTGCGAATACGGTAATAATTCTAAAAATGATCGTCTGCCGTCTGTGCTAAAAGCTTTTGTAAATATTGATTCAGTTGTGCCGTAGGCGAGTGTGTTCTCCTTCTTGTACTTGGCATTAAAAGAAATTGGCCAAGATCACACTCCAGATCAAGTATAGATAGTAGCTGTTAAAGAAAATGGCGAACCACCGTAGTTGCATTCAGTGCGAGCTGCCTAAACAAAGATAAAAGTAGTGCACTCTTTGCATAATTGTTTTTTGACTGACAGCTGAAAAAGAACATGGTGAAGGTACTTTACGATTAGTTCTTGCAGAAATTAAGAAATATATAACTAAATTGTTAAATAAAATAATTTAATTTGATAACTAAATAAAAGGTACGGCAGAAAATTAAATAAAACCCTATTCCGAAGCTGAAAAACTCTATAAACTGAAAACAGTTTGGGCATATTTTCGATATGCTGATATGGACAGCGTAGATAATGTTTGTGATCTCGATTGCATGGTAGTGTGACTGCGAACTCGAATATGAATCTTAGATTATTTTAAAAAATAAGCCACGTCCGCCGTATAGTATATTAACAACAACAACAACAACAAAAAAAAAAAAAAAAAAAAAAAGCGTAGTAAAATTTTTCAGCCTGTGATTTTATATATATCTGTACTTAACTACATTTCTATGTATTAAAAAATTCAATAAAATACAATTTTTTTTCTTAAATTTGAAAACCAGTTACGTATTTTTCAATAAATTCACCATTCTGTTATAAAAATTGGTACTATTCGGGTTTTGAGGGCTGTAAAAATTCGCCAAACTATTGTCGATGCCAGTGCTGCCAAAAATAATTGCGGCAACCCTAACGCAAGAAGATTGATGTTTTAATTTAGATGAAAGGTTAATTTCATATAATACTTTTTATTATTATAATTTATATAAAAAAGGCTAAACATGACTGAATGGAAGCATAGGAGTAAATAACTATTTCAGATCATTATTATAATTTATATAAAAATTGCTAAACATAACTGAATGGATGCCTGCATCGCTATTTCGCTACCGAGTTATCGCTAAAGCATAGTTTCATCTCGTTGGTTGTTCAAACACAATTTTCTATAATGAATGATGCCTTTTCTTTGAAACAATTCTCGGTAAAGTGCAGAATCGCCCACTTATTTGTTTGCCGCTTTTTATAAGGGTTAAGAACAATTGGATTTTTGTCAATTTTTATTTTACATTTTTAAGTGAAAATAAGTCGATGTGTATATAGATAAAGTCAAGGGTGTGCGCAGTGCCATTTTTGTGCAATTCTGGGATTTTTTTTTTAAGTGAAAATAGGTCGATGTGTACATGGACACCGAGTATGTGCAATTCTTAAAAACGCGTCAAGCAGTGAGTGATTCTGCACTTTACCCAAAATTCTATTGCAGACTTTTTGTCATGGGCAATTCCCAAATTGTAAAATCCATAGGACATCAAAAAAGGATTTAAAATTAAATTAGTATTTCAATGGCGTCTTAAGACATATATAACTATATAAACTTACGCAATCTGAAATCAACGCGTACGCTAGATTTGGCGCGCTGTTAAATGGGCGCTTTTGCGCATACATTTTCGCTGCAATTTTTTACCGTCCTCAAAACGGAATAGTACCAAAACATTTGCCGCCGAGACGGTATACTGGCTAGGAAAGCCTACTGCGGTACCGATGGACCCAGGCTCGAATTTTCTGCCATGCCTTCTCCGATATTTCGTCTTTTCATAAGAGGTAACGGTGGCCCAGCTATCAGGTGCTTCCACAATAACGTCACCACGACTTAGTGGCCAAGCCTAAGTTTGCTAAGTGCCCGCCAAAGGGGCAGGAAGAAAAAGATAAAAATAAAAATCATATGAAACGTAATTAAATTTTTCATGCATTACGTTATACCCATATGGAAGTCCACAGAAAATTTCTTTAGGGGGTGGGGAAAAGGCTGGAGGCAATCACGTCAATAAATTTGTATTTAACTGGTTTAACTTGAGCGATTTATAGTCAGAATATGTAATACATACATACAAAAATGTGTGTACTGTACACGCATCAATAAAGCAACACATTTTTTACTAGATTCCAGGATTAGGCAAGTGCACCATTTTTCTTCTTATACAGTCGCTCATGAATCCTAGTGATACCAGTTATAAAGCATTTTGAAAAATTATTTTTTTAAAAATAGGTTTTGATATATCTGTCATACAGAATCGTATAAATGTAGCTAAGTACGTATTTCAATTTTTATCATTAATTCAGGAGCTAAATTCTAAAAATTTCGCGGCCCCTAAATTCTGCTGCCCAGTGCCTTCCCTGAATTCTAAAATTTTGTTCATTACTAAATTTTGCCGCTTGGTGCTTCTCTAAATTATAAAAAAATTTGTCTAGTAGGTGCAGCCGGACCGGTTGCACTGACTCTACATAAAGTATTTGTTACGTCTGTTGTATAAGATTCATTAGCGCATAGGATGTGCGTATGTTCTGATAAAATTTCATGCTCTAGTTTAACATTAGATCATCCATTCCAGCTTATTGTTTATATTATTTGTTGCAATATAGAAGCTAGCAAACGAAAACGCTACTGCAGTCTGCTGTTGCATGTTCAGCGCCTTTTTGGCTAATAATAAAACGAAATGCCTAGCAGAAACCTACGGCCTGTTGACTTCCCTCTCAAGAAAAGGTGAATCATGCTGTAAAGAAATTATAAACAATAAATTTCTTAGGCCAGACGATATTTCTTCAGAACTCCAGATAAAGCTGCGGGACCTAGTTTCATTCTACTAATTAAGAACTTAATTCAACTTATCTGGGAATATGAGACACTCCCAACGGAATGGAAACTCAGTAACGTCTGTCTCATACGCAGAAGGGATATGTGCTTGATTAACAGTAATTATACGGGAATTAAGTCATCTTTGCCCATCCCATAATGTTCTATCAACTATTCTTCTTAACAGACTTTTACTTTACGTTGATAATGCGATCGGCCATTGTTAGTGCGGCTTTAGGAGGGGAAGATCGACTGTTGAGTAGAGTTTCGACGTAAGGCAGGTTTTTGAAAAATGCAGAGAATTTGGAATCGATACAGACAACTTTTTATCAATTTCAGGACTGTATATGATTGCATTAATAGGAAGTTACTTACACAGGCCATGCGGGAACTAAATATTCCAGAAAAACTTGTTGCACTTGTGGTTTTGGCTCTTAACATAACAAAGATGCAAATTCGTTTACAAGGTGACCTTACAGAAGAACTTGAGGTCAAGAGTGGAGTGAGACAGGAGGATGCACTGGCATGGCCCTCCTGGTTTAGTGTTGCATTCGAAACAGTTATTAGAGTTTTTAGAATCAGTACTAGAGGAAATATTTTTGATAAGACAATTCAGTTACTGGCTTAATGCAGGTGGTATTTGCATTTTTTGCTCGTACTGTTCTGCTCTTAAATAGGCATTCACGGCATCGGGAAAAAGTGCAAAAAGATTTAAAATGTCTGTTAACGAAAATAAAATTAAATATATGCCTTGTTTAAAATCTGGCTTACCACTTAGTCATTTAGAAATTAGTAGCTATAGATTTGAAAAACTCTACAGTTTCACATATCTGGGAGCGGCGATGGATTGTAGAAATGAGATAACTTCTGAAATACCTGAAAGAACCTCTGCTGCAAATAGATGTTTTCACAGTCTGAAGAGCTATTTAAAATCCAGCTTTCTGAAATTAACTAAATTCTTACTTTAGAAGGTTTGTTCTGACTTATGCTTCGGAAGCTTGGACAGTGACTTTACGTCATGATGAACCTTTGGGTAGTTTCGTTGAGAGAAATTTTGCTTTACATACTTGGTGGGGTCCGTGTGAGGTGGTGGAAAAGATCTAATTTAGAACTATACAAGATTTGTGGACGACTTGATTTAGTAAAATTCTTCAAACTACAGAAACTTAAATGGTGTCGGTCATCTGGCCAGAATGCAGATCTGTGTTCTAAGAAAATCTTTCTTGCAAAACTCATGGAAACCAGACCATGATACAATCGATCCATTTCACTGGGGGGGGGGGGTAGCTGACAATTGTGTGTTCCTAGCGGGGAGTGCAGCGCGTAAAAGTATACGGGCGGCAAAAATCAGGGGCGGCCGGACTTCATATGTAATATTGTCATATGTAAGTATTATTTATACAATTTATCATATGTACGTACGTGAGTTATGAAATAGAAATTTTATTAAGCTCTGAGCTTTTATTATTATTATTATTATTATTATTATTATTATTATTATTATTATTACTTATTTTTATTAAATTGGGGCGGCAATTTTAGGAAAGTACGCGAGCAGATAATTTGGAAACAATTTAGGAATTTTAGGAACGGCCCTGTATATATACAGATTCACCTTGTACTTCTTCTGTTTCCTTTGTTTTAGTAATTAAAAAAAAATTACATGGTTTTTTTTTAAATATTATTAGAGCGTTTAAAATGTTTAGTGATTTTAAAAAAGCATATATCGGACTAACATTTTTTTTTTCCAAATCATAATTCATTTTAACTCATTTTAAATTCATCGTTATTAGTTGAAATAATCGAAAAAAATTAAAATTATGGAATATTTAAATGTATTTTAACCATTAATTTAAAATTTGAATAATGGATTAGGTTATGTTGCCGAATCAAAATGAAAATTTTCATTGGAAATGTTTTGAAAAGGAAAATTGTATCTGCTGAAGATTTGCGTTTAAAAACGCAAACTGCGTTTTTTCCTGAATGATGGACAGCAAACGCTGAAATTTTATTTATAAATCTCTGTTTGCTTTCTCTTTCTAGCAAATCAGTATTCTGAAATCTGAATATGTAATCATGCATTCATCGTCGATTAGTTGTATAAAGTAATAAAAAGTAAATATTTTATTGCAGGTTCTTTGGCATTTGGACGCTTTTAGGAGAAGTTTTCGAGAACTCACTGGACATGCTTGTATGGCGGAATCTTGTATTTTCTGTGCTTTAAAGGTAAATTGCATTTATTACAGTGATTCCTCGTTTTTCGCTGTTAATGGGGACCAGAACCTTCCGCGAAAGCTGAAAAACCGCGAAGTAGCATTTGTCCCTAGGAATTGTCGGGTATGTGGGTACAAGAATGTTTTAAATATGTAAAAAGTATTTATACTTTACAGATTTAAGACAAAAATTACAACAGCATACGTATTTACTTAAACGTGTCAGTGCTAATTAATAAGGTTAATTACAAAACCTTATACAGTAATAAACATTAATCAACATTGCTTTCTGAGAAAGGCGAAGATTCTTATGTTGATGGCGGAGGAGAGGCTCTTACTTGATATTGTTTTGGCTTTTCCCTTTAGCTGATGATGCATTCCTTTCTGATTTTTGGCACTTAATTTTGGTGTGAAAGCAAATATACCATGTTTTATTCTTCATAACAATTAGTTTTAAGAAAATTTAATTTCTGTGACAAGTTTGAAGAATCTTTTACATTGTGAATATTATCATGTTTTTTGGACATCGGACAAAGAATGTGGTACGAATTGGGAAGTGATTTTGTTTTTCTTTTGCAAGTCTTCAATTAAAATTTGTCGATAAATATTCTAATCAACGACAGACTTGTGTGCTATCATTCTCACAATCAAAAAACATTTCGTTATGAACGCTTTTCTAAGATTTATAGTGAATTCCTCATTACAAACAGGTTTCGGAGGACAGGCTTAACTTCTTCTTCAATCGCTTCTACACTATTTTGAAAACAAGCATACAACTTGAATATCTGTGCATGGAATAAACAACTATTCCCATACCATTGTCTCATAAATACTACTATGTTTGTAGCATCTTTTCTAAATTTAAACATAATTTAATGTCTCTTTATTCCATGCTGCTGGCGTAACAGCAACAGAATAATAATAAAATAATAAAAATAGTTTGAAATAACAGAAAAATGGGTTATATTTCCCATCACGCTTTTAGTAGATGGCTTTGGAACTTTATTAGATTGTAGATGGAGGTTGGTCATTTGGGATGACATGTTGCTTCACAAATGGCGCTTCTATCTTGGCGCTAATAAAATGATTCTCATTTCCTGCGTGGGTACATAGTAAAGGAACAAAGGGTTATATGCGGTTTGGCTAGTTACGTATTGCAACCAGCTTGGCGTAGTTTGGCGAATTTTACGAAAGAAAAAGAGCAGTTATTTATTAAAAAAAAAAGTATATGCATGCATACTTTACGTTTCAGTTATATATTTATTCCAAAAAACAATCAGTAACCGTAGTTACAAACGGGTTTTTGTTTTTGCTGTGACGAAAATTTCGTAGCCACCGCTTTGAGAAAGGATTCGAAGCATTATTTCTTTAGCGATTTTTCAGCAAAATACTGTATTCCCGCAGAAGTTGAATCTCTGTTTCTTCTATTATAGGCAAATGCACAAGCAAAAAGACTTTAAGACAGAAAATAACTGTTAGAACTTCGAATATGACAAAAAGAACGTATAAGAAAATAGCGACATTGGAAACCGAGTATTTGCCATGAATAATTATTATATGCCTGTTTACCCGAGTTCGGCGATTTCTACTAAGGTGGTTGCAATAACTTATAAATACCGAGATTTGAAACTGTTCTTCGAATAAAATACCTAATAAGAGGTCATTAATATGTAACTAATTTAAACCAGTAATGGAATTAATTAATCATTGTTCGACTCACTTTTGAGAAGTTTGCTTCTGCTGCATGTGATGTGAGCAATATTTGTAGCCCAATCTAGGCTTGTCAAGCCCTGATTAAGGCCTTGATTTGAGACGCCTAGATCACTGTGTAACCGTGTAATTATATAAAAGTACAATATTTTTTTTTTTTTTTTTTTTTTTAGTCCAAAGGGATTTGAATCCCGAAGGACTATTAGTTTCGTTTTGGCATTTTGCGTCGGACTCATAAATGTCGGTTCACTTTTCAAACTGTTGCCACAAAATGTTAGAGTCCTGCATTATATTTGAAGAAATTAAATAATGAAAAATCTGCATAAATGTATGTATATTTCTCGTATTGTGATAAAACAACGGTACATAGAGTCATCGAATTTTGAATAACGTAATCCTCCAACGAATATGAGCATGTGGAAGACCAAATTTGAAATTTGTTTTATGATCGATTTCCTATTTTTTAAAACTTTGACGAATTTTTGATTAACAAGCTCAAGGATTTCAAAGCGAGCAATGGCAACGTTGTGCAGAAAAACATTTTTATCTCCAGCGCGTGAGTCTCTGTATCGGAAATTCTTAAGATATGCTCGTTTTAAAACTATTTTGCGATATTGCTGTTGCACTGGATCTTATGGTTTAAGTGCGAGGAACATGGTATTTAATAAAGAAAGGTAACACACAAAATGTTAAAAAACGCCCCTTTGGACGTAATTTAAAATCTGAAACATTTTAGATTTTTTTTTTTTTTTTCCCGTAAAAACTAACAATGTCGGTAAGAGAAGCTTTGGAAGAATACTGCTCCTATGGCCCTAAATTATCTTAATGGAGACTTACCTACAGTTTTATATTCAAATTGCGCAAAATTCAGTTTTTAATTGGCCTTAATTTTGGAGAACTGTTGCATGTATTTCCGGAGAATTTCAAGAACAGACATGAGTATCTTTGCTTTTTTTGGCTCTTCAAGCTCCAAGAAAAAAATTATTTTTCGCTATTCTACGAAATAAAGAAAAGGAAGTTATAAAGATGATTAACTGTGCTAACAAATGAATACAGAATAGAATATTGATTTATAAAGTATATTTTCCTACATATTATTCGTTGCATAATTATTTTACATCTGTAGAATGATTCTTAAATTATTGTTTGGAGAACTTAAAACATGAAATTGTTTTTATAGTTACTGTAACTTAAATTTTTAATTAAATTTGCCAGTGGCTTTAAAAAATAGTTTGAAATAATAATACTCATATGCCAACATTGTAATTTTTCATTGTGACTTTACATTTGTGCTGCAGTAATCCTGCAATTTACATCTGTTATGTGTAATTTTATCGGCTGATATCCGTATGTGTAACCAAAAGCGAATCATTTCAATAGCTTTGAGGGACAATGAACTGATTCTTTTACTGTTATTTATTTATTACGCATTATTTTATGGAGGTGGCTACGAAAAGGCAAAGCCATCTGTTCTGTTGCTATGGTAACGAAATGCGCTTTCCGCCGGAGGGGGAACATTCTATTAAAAAAAATACTGCTTGTACTCTTTGCGGAGATCATCAACGTCGTTAAATGGTTTATGTGATTTTTTTCACGTACAGTAAATACTACAGTTATAAAATACGGTTCCGTGTAACATGTAAATGGCCGTTATATCCATGGTGATATAACTCTTCTGTTTTTGTTTTCACACCTACAGCTCTCCATTAAAATATCCCGTGGCCATATTCTTTCACCCGAATTCCTTTTTCCATCACCGGAAAATTATTGCCCGATCTTGCATCAATCTTCCCCTCTTGAGATTTTCTTTTCTCCCAAATACAATGTTTCCAAAGTCATTTCTAGCTATCCCCTTACAAATAGGATCAAGGACAAGGCGTTTTGGTAAGGAGTACCTTTGCAAATAAATGCAATTAACTCTACATATTCGTTAATAGAAAATGAATTGAATAAGAGTGAGCAATCACTAAAGAAAATGAATGAAAAGCCAATGGACTGAGTTAAGAGATTTATAAGAATTACTAACAAATGGGTCATTCCTTGATAGCGCTTGCTTCCGACTAGGCTCAGAAGAATGTTCCACGTTCTTTCTACAAGTTAAGATATTCTACCCTTGAATTTTTCTTACTTCTTGGCGTAAAATATTCTACATAATTATGTAGCATGAATAACAGTATTTTAATTGTATTACTCATATTACGTATTTATATTATTACTGAACTCGATCATTCTTCCATGAAATATATGGACAAGAAAACAACTCGATAAATATGCACAATATTCTAAAATTTTAAATTATTTGATTACTTCCTACCTATTTAAAGCATTTTGACTTTACGAAATTAAATTAGAATTATGCGATGCTTAAGTCATTTATTAACAATTTATGCATTATGTTGTAATGATAAATAATTAAATGTCAAAGATATAACTTTCTATTGAGGCAAAAATTCAAACAGATTCGACAATTTAAGCAGTAATTGCAATACACTGAACTTGTGTATCTGATGAAATCTTCTATGATAAAACTGAACAGTTTTTTTAAAGTTCAGTTGTGGATAGTTCCCGATGCAACTTAACAGTTTCAGTTTTAAGTTTACAGCGGTGTTCATTACAAGGCTTGCGAATTATGATTTGAATTTATTACATAACCATATACAGTCAAAAGTTTTTAATCCGAACTCGTCGGGACTTCGGCGATTCCGGATTATAGATCATCAGTTTAAATCTGTTAAGATGGCATGCAGAAATTATACAATTAAAAATATGAAATTGTAATTTATGAAGTAAAGAGCAATTGTGATCTAAAGAGTATCAAAATTTACAAAAAAAAAAAAAAAAAAAGGCTTAATATTTATTTGTTTACTTTATTAAACATTTCTTTCAACGCGCACATGCGTAAAGCATACATTACGCATAGTTGAAATTAGAAAATTGCAGTTAGAAAACTATTTTATGTGTATTCGTGATATTTATAATGACGAGGAAATTGATTTAAATCACATCGGAGTACATCGAGATGAAACACTACATTTAGTAAGGAATTATAAGCTGAATAAAATAAAAACATCTGTGCTGAAGATGAGGATAGTGCTGACAGATCAACATATCACCTCTCTGTCACTTTCTTCATGCCTTTATCCATTTTTTGCAGCAATTCCACTTTTTGTTTAATGGACATCGAAACATGCTTTCGCTTTGTAGAGCCTTTGGCAGCTCCAGAATCGGAAATTCTATTCGACATAATCGAAAGTTCAAGCTTACTTTTATAAAATTGCTCTAACAGTCTGCAAAAAATAATAAGCTGGATCCAATTCGAAGATTAAGGAACAATGCAACCTGCAACATTAACTGAAATAGATAATTAGGTAATTTTGGCTTAGCTTATATCGTCTGTTGTACATTAAATGCATATGCATAAAGGTATTGTTCTCATGCATAAACGCATTATGCATTTACACATGTGCAGAAAGTTTGTAGCTTTGAGGTCCGGATTATAGATTATTCCAGATTATGGACGTCCGGATTAAAGACTTTTGACTGTAATTGTATTGAGTAAATTTTTAAGTTTATGCAGTGTGTTTTCACAGAGAACACAGCATCATTAGATGCACATTTCCATTATGGAAGAGCTTACAAAGTCAAATAGTTAGTCAGTCAAGTATTGGACTGACTACTTGAATTATAGTGCTGACTGACTATTTGACTTTGCCATTACTGCATTAGCATTCAGAGAAAAGTTTGATACTGCTGCTTATACAGAAATATTATGTACAAATAACCTCCTCTTCAGATTATTTACACATGCATTTTTTTTTAATTTTAGGAATTATTTACGCAGTTTCAGTACAGTCAAGAATCAGCTTTGCCACCCGATGCTTTGAGGCATGCATTGGCAAAGACTTTCTGTGATCAAAGGAGATTTCAGCTGGGTTTTATGGACGATGCTGCTGAATGCTTTGTAAGTTATGTTTTCATAATATAAAGTTTTAAAATATACTCACGGTATAATTTTTACATCTGCACAATTACAGTTGCATAATATATATACATTTTAAAGGCCTTACATTGATTAGTTTAATTTTTGTTTCTGTATTTGTTAGTCCAAAGGGGATTTGTTCCTGAAGGACTATTGTTTCCGTTTTGCGATATTGCGTTGAATCGCTATAAATGTCCATTTCACTTTTCAAAATGTTGCCACCCAGTGTTAGAGTCCTGCATTATATTTGAAGAAATTAAATAATGAAAAATCTGCATAAATGTATGCATATTTCTCGCATCATGATAAAACAATGGTACATAGAGCCATCGAATTTTGAATGACGTAACCTTACTGCGAATATGGGCATGTGGAAGCACAAATTTGAAATTTGTTTTACTATCGATTTCCTATTTTGTAAAACTTTAATGAATTTTTTATTAACAAACTTGAGGATTTCAAAGCAAGCAATGGCAACGTTGTACAGAAAAAACGTTTTTATCTCCAGTGTGTGAGACTCTGTATCGGAAATTCTAAAGATATGCTCAGTTTTAAAACTATTTTGCAATATTGCTCTTGAACTGAATTTTATGGTTTAAGTGTGAAGAACGTGATATTTAATAAATAAAGGTAACAGACAAAATGTTAAAAAAAAGCTCCTTTGGACGTAGTTTAAAATCCGAAACCTTTCAATTTTTTTAGTCCAAAGGGATTTGGGTCTCGAAGGGCTATTACTTTCATTTTGGCATCTTGCGCCAGACTCCTATAAATGTCAGTTCACTTTTCAAACTGTTGCCACAAAATGTTAGTCCTGCATTATATTTGAAGAAATTAAATAATGAAAAATCTGCATAAATGTAAGCATATTTCTTGCATTGTGATAAAACAACGGTATCTAGAGCCATCCAGTTTTGAATGACGTAATCCCACTGCAAATATGGGCATCTGAAGTCCCAAATTTGAAGGGCCCGGGTTCGAATCCTGGAGACATCATGGATGTTTGTAAATATAGTGTCCATGTGGCATGGCAGTACTCTAAATATGTGGCAAGCCAAAAGTCCTTTTAAGAGGTTGGGAGACCTTTGGACTCCTCCCCCCCCAGTGTTCTTCATCAAAATTGAGGGCGGAACTGGGTGAAATCACCTGTAAGTTGCTCGATGTCAGTGACAGGTGTAGCTTTTGTTCCTTGCCAGGACGTATTTCGTAGCCTTAGGCTACGAATAGACAAGTGAGCATTAGTAACAACAACAACGGTCAGACAAGTGAGCATTAGTAACAACAACAGAACAATAAATGATTGTTTATTCTAAAATTATTTGAAATCATAGAATGTAATGTGTGAAGTTGTATCGTTATGCAAATTCTGAAAATTTTCAAAGCACAAATTTCCCATGTTCATGTAAACTATTCTTATATACAGGAAAATATATTGCTGAGGATCCATGTTCACATAGCTAACCAGGAAGCTGATGACATGTGTGGAAATGTCCACTGCATACCACATCAAAAGTTTGCTATGACATTGGTGGAGCAGGTACATTTTGCACAAATTAAATAAAAATAAATTTAAATACTGTAATTAAATTGTCAAAAAACTTTTTACCAACTGTCAAATTTGATTTTGTTAGCGTATCTGCCATAAATGTGGAGCCACATCGGAGCCTCTTCCATTTACTCAGATGGTACACTATGTGACGACATCTGCATTATGGTAAAAAATCATTTTATGCTGAATCAATGGCTGCATTTTATACTTGTTTTGTTTCTTTAACATTTGGTATGCTAAATGTTTTCTCCAGATCTGCTTTAAATTATTCATATTTGTGACATTTTATTGTATAGTGCTAAAGCCATGGAGACTCAAGTACAAGATTCAAATGGTAGATTAAACAACTCTTTTGGGAAATTTTTAAGATTGGCTGGAGATATGGGAGAAGTTCGAGAGTGCCCGGTGAGTAAAATGTTGATTCTTTTTGTGGAAGAAGGAAGTTTAAATAAAAAAGTGCATCTTTTGCTTTTTTTCACAGCAATAGAGAAAATATAATTTTTATTAACTGAATAACACATTTGTGAACTAATTTATGCTTCAACTTTAAGTCTCTAGGTAACATTTGCTGTTTAATTCTTGGGATTTAAATTTCTATGTGATGAAATTAGAAAAAATTAATTCTATGCTAATTAAATTCTATGTAATCTTTAAAGTATCTTTTGATTTCAATCATAATATTAAAAAAAATTAAAACATCTTAATTTTGAAAAGCAGATGTTCTTCCATATAGTTTAGAACACACATATTATTACAAAATTAAAAAAAAAATAAGTGTTCAATATAATAAAGTTTTGAGAAATGTGTAATAAAATAAAGCACATAAAATTAAAGAGATCAGAAATCAGTTTTCAGTTATTTTTGTTCATAATTTTCATGAATATTGAATACTGCTTTCTATAATTCTCAGTAATGCAATGAGAAATATCAACATATTAAAAAAAGTCATCTTTTCATTAACTGAAAAACTTTCATTTTAGTTTTATGCTTTTTTAAAGCTGTAGTGTAATATTTTTTATTTATTTCTTTTAGTTGGTTTTTATCTTTTATTAATATAATATTGATTTTTTATTTCAAACATGTTACTAAAACATATTATTTTCCAATTTTAACAGAGTGGATGTGGATCAAAAATTCAAGTGAAGAAAACTTTGATGAACCATCCTGAAGTTGGTAAGAAACATATTATAAAATAAAAATAGTAGGAGTACCAAAAAGTAATGCCATTTTAAATGATGGAATTTCAGTTTACTAAGCAGTCGTGCTTTGGCAAAGGGGAATAATCATTATGGACAGATGGATGAAATGTTCTGTGGTAAAACTTTCTCTATTTTCCGTTCTATACGGTATGATAAAGAAGAATGATATAAAACACCAAGAAAATCATCTTCGTCATTGCATGATCTGTGAATTTCACTAGAGTAGGAATACAGCAACCCCCACCAGAAATATTTCTGATGTATCCAATTGCATTACCCATAGGCAATGGTGGTTTGCCAAAATCCAGTCATGAAATTTCAACCTGAAGTGTTCAGAGAAACCAGAGAAGTTAGACAATGACCTGGTGGACTTAGTCATTAAAGTATCATTGTAAAAGTCGTCAGATGATCTTTTTGTAAACCTATAGTTAATTGAGAATATCTGTAGATGAAGTGTTTCAATATCACATGAACTCTCAGGTGGCAACAAAGCTAGAGATTCTCTGGGACAGTGGTGCAGCTGCATCAAGTAGCAAAATTCCATAGAAAATGAACAGCAGACTTCAAGATAGGCAGAGGTTAAAATGGGTGGCAGAAAACCTATCACCAGTCCCAGCATTTTGCCATTTCCAATTTTTTGCTCAAGAGGCAAGGAAGATAACAATTTCTTCATTGAATTATCACTGGAGATGAGAAATATGTTCTTTTTACATCCAACTAAAAAATATATGGCTTTTACGCCATCAGAAGCTATTTTCAGCACTGAAACGAGGACAACACCTGCATGAAGATTTGTTGTGTATTTGAATTGAATATCACAGCCTTAATTTACTTTGAAGCAGGGCTTAATTTCTAAAATTGGAACTATTTGAACCCCATGAAAGGCCATCATAAAATGTCAGAGAGAAATAAGTGAATAAAAATACTAATAAATAAAATAAAAAATAATTCATAGTTAAAATGAAATAAAAGTACAAAGATGAATAACAATTAAAAATTAAATTAATGCATCTTAAAAATGAATGAAAAATGAAATGAAATTAAAGAAATAGGCAATTATGTAAATAAATGATAACAAGACCCTAATGTTAAAATATTTGAACAATATTCTTTAAGATCAAATAAAACAGAAATAAAATTATTTCCATTTTTGGCTTCTAATCACTTTCAAGCCTTTATGATCCAATGAGTAGATTCCATGAGTATTTCTCTTCCTAAAGAGACAGCACTTCTAAAGCGGAGGCTGTTCCTCAGCACTTGTGTTTTTCCGCATATTTTGCTTTCCGAAAGAAACCTTGGGCATTTTTTGGTAGCTAGTATCATGTCGGTCAGTTCCGGCATGATAAGACAAACATTGCATTTATAGCAGAGTCTTCTGTTTGTATTTCGATTCAGTTGAATAATGATGTACCAAAGCTCATCTTAGGACTTCAAAGGGACCACTTGGAATTAAGATTTTCGACAGAAAACTGAGAAATACCAGAGCCAGTCTCTGGCTGAGTTTAAGTTCCACTTTTAGAACATGATCAAATAATAATTGCAGATCTTTATTGTCAACAGCTTGAAGCAAACTCTTCATTAAAAGCATCCCACGTTGATCAATGAAAAAGTGTTACCCTTCTCCATAACAATACAAAACCAGTCATGGCACCAATGACTCAGCAAAGGATTCGAGAATTAAGTTGAGAAACTTTTACCTATTTGAGCCATGTTCAATAGGCATGCTTTCGATAGATTATCATCTATTTTGATTTCTAAAGGGCTTTTGTAGAAGATACTTATTTCCAAAATATTGACCATGTCAAAACATGTCTTTTGGACTTTTCCCATTCAAACCACATTTCATATGAGACTACCGAGCATTAGTTCCAAAATTGCAAATCATTATTCATAATGATGGGTTTTCTGTCTGTCATTTCAAAATGGCATTACTTTCTGGTATGATTTACTTCTTTAGATATAATGTTTTCCCCCTTCTTCCCCCAAGATATTTTGTACTGCTAAATTCTTTTTATTGCATTTAAGTAATATTTTTATATTTCATCTCTTTTCTTAATATTTTAGTAAGCATTGGTCTTATTTGGGATTCAGAGTGCCCCACTCTGCAACACATCACAGATGTCTTCCACAGCATTGGGATGTATTTATCTTTGCAAGATGTAAGAAAATATTTTTTTAATACTTACATATATAAATGAATGCTAAACAGTTTGTTTTAACAGCAATAAAAATTATGTATTTTACTGTTTCATACACCTTTAAATTCAGTTATATATATGCATTAAATTCTCTATGCAACACAAAAATATTAGAAATTTATCATAAACAATCATGTTTATTTAAGCAACCCAAATGAATACTAAATTAAACACAATCCAATACAAAATTCAATTTATGAAAAACTGGAGATTTTTGGACTAATGCTGAAAAGGAAAAGACAGTAATAATCTTAGCTCAGAGTTCATTTATGCATAAAATAAAGAGGAAAAAGTATTAAATTTAGTGAATTTGTAATGCAAAACTTAACTTTTAATGTCCTGCAAACTGCTTTATATTAAATGGGCTGTTATAAACCGGAACTATTTAAGTAAATACAATTAAGTCTTTTATTAACTAAAAATAATTTTTATTATTTTTGTGGATTGCTTACCAAAATCCACAAAGCTTTTGTTACATCTAGCATATCGCTGTCACTTATCTAGAGATTCTGTTAAGCTTCATCAGAAGCACTTTTCATAAACCAGGCAGTCTTTAGGGGCTTTGCTACCTTTATTCTATGCACGACTACAGTATAATTTATTAAAATACAATGTGTTTGTGGTTGTGGTTGGAAGTATTACAGTGTAATGAGTAATAAGATCCCAATTCCAATTGCAAAAGCTTTCATCTCACTAGATATTTTTTATTATTCTTGAGTGAAGCTTTCCTGAGTGAGTGACTTTTGCTCTAAAACTTTTGACTTCAGATAAGATTTTTAATTTATAAGGTATGCATAACATATTCTGTTTAGCATTCATTCTAAATTTTACAAAAGTGGTTATTTTATTATCTTCCTCTGTATATTAATTTTATGAAATTTTTACATTTTTTAAATATTTTATTTAAGAATGAAATTCATTTTAAATAATGAATAGGTTAAAATAAAAAAACCTTTATGTATGTAAATTTTTCAATCGGAACATTTGAGTAATAATAAAAATACATATTAAGTTTAATAATATAATATCAAAAATAAAATTTAACAATGAAAATACATATTATATTTTTATTTTATAATGCAAAGTACCACTTTTTGCCTATGGAAAATCTGTTAATTCATTAAAATTTCTTGATGTATTTTTATTAAATATTTTCTAGGAAACCTTTTAAACTTTTTAATTTTATGCAGATGTTTCATAACGTTTTCGATATTGAATGGGCCAGTGCAACTATGCTTCAATTAGTTGGTGTAGTGACATATTACGGGAAGCATTATTCAACTTTCTTCTTCCACACCAAGCTGAGAGTCTGGATTTATTTTGATGATGCAACAGTTCGAGAGGTAAATTAAATGATATATAAAACTTGTATAAAAGTATTAAGTTTTATAAAGTCATATGCAATGAAATTGTAGTATTTCATTCTAAAATGAAGATTACAATAAAAAATCCATGCATTGTTGGAATTTAAAAATTCAGGTAATAAATTTAGAAGAAACAGAAGCATTATATTAATTTATCTCATCATTCTAATTTTAAAAAAAGTGCATATAAATGTAACAAATTTGTAAAATTAGAAATGAATATATGAGTTTTGGAATAAGTCTAAAAACTAATTCAAAGTTTTGTTAGAGATGCTTAAAGTTTTTCTGATAATGCAAGAGAAAATACTGTATGTATTGTTTATGAATTCCAACACCAATTACCAATTCTGATATGTTTAATTGAAGAAAGTGAGAATTATTAGATAATTTGAATTGCATGTTTGAGATTTAACTATCCATGTACCACCTTCTAATTTGCCAAGAAAAGTCATAATGAAATTAAATAATTTTGTAATTCATATCATGAAGATATATTCCTAATTAAAGATGTACGATAAGTTAATCTCAAGTTTAAAATCAGCTGTACAGGGTGTTGAATTCAACACTATCCATTTTCAAAGTAAGATAATGCATTACAGTTGAACACTGTTACGTAAGTCAGTTTCTTGCATTTGTAAAACAGACTTCACTTCTTGAACAGTGTCTTAAAAATATTCTTTGTGTGAATCAAGACGTTGCCATCATCCATGCAAACTTACCACAATGCAATGCACATACAGCAATTAACACTTCAGTCTTGAATATGGTGAGAGTAAAAACATGAGCCAAACTTACTGAAAAAAAAATTAAGTTCACTATTACTTCAATTCAAAACGTGATTTATATTTTTAGAATATATATCAAGATCTTCAAATTCATCCTGATCAGCTTTCATTTTATCTGTTGTGTTACTGAATAGTTCTTTATATATATTATATGCATGTGAATGTAAAAAATAAATTGGGTGAAGAACACTGAAAATTTCTCATTACAGCAATGTTTAGCGTCTTGTAAAGGACAGCTGTACTATATGAAGTATATTAATTCATTACTTATAATTTTATTGCATGTAATACTATAAATTAAGCATAAACTTTGTTTACCTTAGATATAACTAATTATTAAAAAATAATAATTTATAATTTTTACATTTTGATTAATTTTAAATTTTGCGCAATTTAACTCGGAGAAATATTTTTAAAAATGTATGGTTTGATGCTAAAAACCTGCAATTATTTTCAACAGCTTTTTTTTTTTTTTTTTTTACATCATGAATTTAAGTTAGGAAGAGTTTAAATAAACTCTGAATATTTCAGGTTGGGCCAAGTTGGGAACAAGTGGTTGAAAAATGCCAGAGGGGGCGCTTTCAACCTCTTTTATTACTATTTGCAAACCCAGTCAGCTCTAATGATTATGCAAAAAAAGGTAAGTGAGTTTATTTATTAGATATGCTAAAAAGATATGTAAAAAGAAAGTTCTTGATATATATTGGTATGATGTTCTTGATTTAAAAAGATGATTTCTTCTTTTTCTTTTCCAAAACTTTTGAATTGGTAAAATGATATTTAGACAAGCATGCATATTTTATGTGCATCTAAATATTTAAGAAAAAACAGTTTTATTATTTATATGTACAATCATCTTCTAAAATCTTTTTTTTTTTTAACTCACACTAAATATCTTGATTCATAAAGCTCCTTCTAAAAACCTTTTATTATTTTCCAGAGCATTCTGTTATAAACGTCAACAATCTGTCTGATTCCACAAGTAACTGCACCCCTTTAAACCAAAGACAAGCTGTGATAAGACAGTACTTAATGTTGCAAAATACCTACCAAGAATCCAGTTCCAAAGCTTTATATGGACCCATGAGAAATGTAGATATTCACCCTAATAATAATGCACATCAAACATATTTGCAAAATCCATATAGAATGGATCAAGGACAAGTTCCACACAGTGCCAACTATTCCGTGAATCCTGCATTATCTTACAGTAATCAAACGTGGACAATAAATGCAAAAAGCAATCAACCTCCACCAGTTTACAGTAATCTGCAATATCTAAATTCTTTACAACATAATCAAAATCAGGTAGACTTATCAAAGTTAAATGAAGTCTCATTACCAATCGTTGAGGAATTGCTATCACCTAACACAAGGACTAACATGATTCCAACTGATGCACAACAGTATGAAGCCTTGAATACATATGAAATGCAAAATAAAGATAAAAATTATTTTGATTGTGCTAAAGACAGTGACTCTGCCTTTACAGAAGATGATCCAGAAGGCAATGATATGTATATTAGCAGGAAAACTGTTGAGAATGTACTAAATCAGCAAAAGAGACAAATGTCACTGAGCCGATCGTACAGCCAAGGTTCAGTAGGCAACAGGAACAGCAGTAGTAGCTTGGAGTCTTTTGACAATCAAGCATGCAAGTTGAATGCAGTTAAAAATCCAGTTCTAGAAAATATATCCAGCAGAAGAGACTCCGGCTCTTGGAGCAGTGATCGCAACAGTTCCTCGAGCAACAATTCGGTGGAGAATCCATTCCTGACGGTTGTTGCCTCAAAAAGGTAAATTTAAAACTTCTTGAAGTTTATACATTAAATGAAATATTGCAAAAGACACTTGAGAACAAAAAAATATATAATAACTTGCATTAGTATCTAAACCATAAAAAAATACGTTAAAAAATATTAATTCCTAAGCAACTTGATTCTCTCCTAAGATTGGTTATTACTTTGATTGTTCCTTAAAATGATTTTCTTTCTTATTTCCATCGGCATTAATTAGAGATTATTCTAATAATGTAAAAATTACGAGAAACAAAATTCTTCAAATCTAGGAAATAAATATTACATGAAACGAGCATTATCGGTAGGCATTCAGAGGGTTAGCATGTATTTTATTTAATTATAATAAAAGTAGGAAGTTATTTTTCAATCAACTACAAATCGGGTAATATAGTAATGTGATTTTCAAAATTATATTGATGAAACAAACTGAACTTTTTAAATAAATATTTTAATTGTAAGTAAAATGTGACAAATTCCAATCCATTAATATTATAATACTGCAAGTCGTAGGAAAAATAATCTGTTTTTTAATGTTTAATTTATTTTAAGAAATGTTCATACAAATTTTATATTTGTCAAGATAGAAGTAAACCTATCTTGAGGATCTAACTATGCTGTGATCCCCCCCCTCCCCTCCCGGCAAGGAATAAATATACAGTACAAAGTCCGAAATCCGGACATCCATTATCCGGAATGATCTAAAATCCGGACCTCAAAGCCGCAAACTTTTTTTTTTGATATGCTTTACGTATGCACATTTGATTTTTCCTTCCATAATAAAACATGTGGAGAATTCCGAATCTTAATTTCACTTAGGCGCTAAATAAAATACATCATTATGAAAAAACAATCATGTAAGCATAAATTTGTGAAATTAATAATTTGGTTTAACAGCTGAGTGTTTGTTTGGCATTACTTCTCAAACCGAAACATTCACCTATTTTATATCCTTGACCCCAACCTGGCGAGTCATTATTTATTATTTTATTATATTTTACAAATTACGATTTCATATTTTAAATTGTATGATTTCTGCATGCCATCTTACCAGATTTAAATTGATGATCTATTATCTGAAAAAATCTCATATCCGGAATCACCAAAGTCTCGACGAGTCTGGACTTTGTACTGTACTCCTTAAATCTGTTTCATTCTAATCAAGATTCTTAAATTATATTGAAATATTCCTTGCTTCTATATCCAGGATCGGTGCTAGAGTTTTTGCCACTTTCTGAAATTCTGCCGCCTGGTTCTGTCCTAAATTGTAAATATTTTGCCTTCTGTTTCAATTCTCTTATTTTGTTATTGTATTTGAATTTTATTATGAATATGCATAATCACCATAGCAAACAGCAACAGCAAATGTCAACACAATCTGCCCTTATCTGGCCATGTAAATGCTCTTGTTTTACATCTCAACAAACTCCCGAGGCAGCCTCTTGTGACACCAGAGAGGTGTTTCTGGTTAGTGGTGAGCACAGGACACATGCCTGTTTACCCCTGTTAAACATCAGGCCTCTCCATCGTCCGTCACCAACGAACTAACCCCTAAATTTTGCTGCCTGGGTCACACCAGCCCTGACGATATATATGACACTGCATTGCAAAAGTAAAGTGGAAAAGCTGAACTTAAAATTACATGACAGAGGAGCAAATTTAAGCTTTCCTCTAAAAATATGTACTAATTTTAATATGAGGTTTATTTGTTTTTAGGTTACTACTTGGCTTGAACAAGAAGGGTCAGGTTCCTGATTATTCAAACACAAATACTTCAGATCATGGATACGATTCATACTCTGTGTCCAGTTCTGACAGTTATCCCTCAGTAAACGGCTCTCCTGTAAAGCTCGACCCGAGATTAACGCAAATACCAGAAGATTGGCAGCCCGAAGATGATAATGATTTAGATCAGAAATTAAAACTTGTTACTGAAGCTCCTTCAGGTAAGATATAAAGAACTAAAGAAACAACAAGAATTATCTATAATAATAATAATAAATATCCATTTAAAAATTAAGTTACATGATTATTCGTAAAAACCTGCATTCATATTATATAACTATTTCATCTTGAACTTTTGTAAAATACACAGTGGATTCTCCTTATTTTCCCAGGTCCTCCCGAACTGTGATAAACTGTGTGCTGAAGCAGATCTTCTTTTAGCAAAATCACATGAAAAAGAAAAAGATGGAGATCTAGTTATGGCTGCATTACTTAGCGACTCTGCTGCTGGTATGTACAGAATTTGGTTTAAAAAATATAAGCAACAATCATAATTAAATGCACATTTGAGATTTACATGCCATTTTAAGAATTTTTCTAAAGTTTTGTAATATTCTTAAAATGAACTTCATCTTGCTATGCAAAAAAGGCATAAAAATGCATTTCTAATACACTACAAGGTATATTATTAACCCTCTCACTGCATACTTTTTTAAATCAAAGTATGTTCAAAAATTGCATATTTTATTACATATTTCAAATCTACATATAATTTAGTAAAAATTTATTTATTAGTAAAAATTTTAGAGTATTTTAAGAGTTAAAATATACAAAAATTTTTTGTAAAAGTTTTTTTTTAATGTAGAATAAGATTATAGAAAAAGGTTGTCAGAATACTGAAATTTAAGAATAATGATATAAAAGGAAAATTTTGGAAATTAATATTGATTAAATTATGTTTTATTTTATAAAATACAAAGGTAAAACATGTATACTAATGAAAATATTTGCATATCAAGTTTGCTCCACTGTCAAACGTTTTCAATAGAAAATGAATATTCAGATTCATCACTATCTGAAGAGGAATCAGACATTCTCATCAGTTTCATTATAACTATCTTCAATATACTTGAAATCAGAGTCAGATATCATCAGGAATACAGGTTATTATCACTCGCGAAATGCCTCCTGCCAGACATCTTTGAGCTCTGAAAAGCGCGTGTAAAATGCTACATGACGTATTCTTGTATATTTGGCATAATATTATATGAATATTATAATATGAAATAAGCATAATATTATAATATGAAATATTGACAACTAACGCCATCTGTTAGCCCACATCTAAATAAACAATTAAACATCTCAGAAAAGCTGAAAGGAAACTTTGAATGGAGAAAGAGTGGGTTGCACAGTTAAACAGAGGGCAAAAATTCATCCCCGTGGAAATCGCGGGTTGCACAAATTTTGCTACTTTTACGTTGCCCGTGGAAATCGCGGGATGCACAGCGAGAGGATTAAAACATTTTCTTAGAGCTATGTGAAAGATATAAATATATGGAATTCCTTATAAAAGGCACATTTTAATTAACTATTTTAAAATATTCTAGGCCCACCGGTGGCTGAGCGGTAAAGTCGCTGAACACTGGTAGTTCGGTCCGAGGTTCGAATCCCGCGAACGGGCTGGCTGCATGGGCGTTTTTGTGGTTTTCCCCATGTGTAACGTGTATACGAGCCAGTTTCCCTTAGAAAGTCCTCCCTCCCCTTAGGCAGATAGCCCTCGAGGCTTTGCCATAATCACACACACACATTAAAATATTCTAAATTAGAAGATTTAGATCCAAAATTAGCAAGATAATTTATTTTTTTTAATTATTCTTTAAATAGTTTTAGTAAAATAATGCATATTCTTTGTAGGATATGCATTTTTAGATTAAGACTAACATTTATCCGATTGCATTAAGGGGTGTTGGAACCCCAAAATCTTAAAAAAATTTTGATTTCGGATTTGCACGTTTTCAAATTCTCTACACTTTTATCTTTCTAAAAATACGATTCATTAATCTCTATGAAAATTAGAACAGTAAAAAATCTAGTTTTAATTTGTCATCGACTGCTTTGATCAACGAGGATTTTTACATAAAAACACGTTTTTGTCCAAACGTAATTTTTTTATTCTCGATGTACCTTTTTCTCAGGAACTACTGCTCATCGGTATCTAAAATTTGCATGGCTTATTTATTAGGTTTCCTAATATTTACTGAAATGAGCTTTTTGTTATAAGCCCACCAGCGGCCGAGCGGTAAAATTGCCGAACACTGGTAGTTCGGTCCAAGGTTCGAATCCCGCGAACCGGCTGGCTGCATGGGCGTTTTCGTGGTTTTCCCCCATGTGTAACATGTATACGAGCCAGTTTCCCTTAGAATGTCCTCCACAAAGGCATTCGTTCCCTTAGGCAGATAGCCCTTGAGGCTTTGCCATAATACACACACACACTTTTTGTGATAAACTTGGAAAGAAAATTTTTTAAAAAATTTTTTGTGGAAGATAAAAGGTGATATTTTGTGTAAGATATTCTGTAAATTACTCTAAAATTCAAAATGTTTCAAAAGCTCATTTCAGTATAATCTGATAGGTATACTTTAAATACACAAAAAATTTCAAGCGTGTGTATACAGCAAATTTTGAGGAAAGGTACATCGAAAATGGCCAATTTAACATTGTCGGTATAGGGGTTGCTAATAGCCCTTAAATACTGTGCTGAATATTAGAAAAAAAAATTTTGTACAAATTCATAGATATTCCACAGCATTAATGATGAATAATATATTTGATTAAAAAATTAAAAATGTTTATGCATGTTTTCAGAGCAAGGTGTTATATATTTACATAAGTGAAAATGAATTATTTAACTATCTGTTCTCTTGTTGGAGAATGGATTAATGATATTAGATTTAAGAAATTACCACTATTCATGGCTAAGTAAATATATATATTTTGGACTGAATCATACTGTTAAAGTTTTAATAGGTACTTATTCATTCAATACTACTGATATTTTAGGAAATTTTCCTACTAATATATTTTTACCATTGCTTAAACTCACATTTGTCCTAACTATCATTCTGTACCAGTGATGGCAAACCTATGGCACGCGGAGCCTTATCAGAAGGCATGCGACTATAATATTACTTCCTTAACCCTTTGCGGCACAGTGTATCCGTTCTGGACAGACCTAAAAATCTCCTTCTGTACGCACAGAAAAATTGAATGAAAAAGGAATTATAGGTTACTCTGAACCTTCTTTATTTATAGTAGATAATAGCTCAAAACAAACCAGTCCATATATTTTTGCCATGTTTAGTTTTTTAAGACCCACATTTTTCAATGAAATCTTCCAGATTTTTTTTAGGGTATAAAAGAAATTGTTTGAAAAGAAATTTCTAGGGTATTTTTTTGGCTGTATGCTAATCTCTCTATTCTATACTAGTTTTAAACTTTACCTTGAAATCTTGCCTAAAATCAAACAAACCCTAGGTGTGCCCAGACTGGGGCTCACCGATAATCTAGGACAACTGTTTTTCTGCATCTCATCGGTCAGTTCATTGACAACAGTGCTCGTTTCAGCACTCTTTTTGAAGCTCTATTCAATCAGTGTGCCACTTTGGGCACACCCACAGAATTAAAACGTTGAGTGCTATCTTCACAAAATTTTACTTGTGTACTCCTCTAGGCCTAATTAGACTGCCTACCCCCTTTTTTTTATCAAAACTCCTTTAAAAGGCAGTGTGTCGGTAAGGGTTAATTAATAATCACAATAAAACATGTAAATTAAATAAGAATTTTAGTCTGTTCTTGAACGTTTCACTTACTTATCGCATAATGCCACTGGCATAGAGTCTAAGCCTAGATATAAGATTTTAATATATCGCCATAGAAATGATATACATATTTTTTGACCCAATTTATGACGTTTCAATTGTTTGGGCCAATCAATCATATTGTTACATGGCAACGAATTCGCCAAAGTTGAAGCAGTTAATGTTTGCTAAACGAATTCAAATTTATTGCAGACTGTCAGTGAGTTTTAATACTTTCATTGTTAAATAGATTCCAGTTTTCAGATCTAAGCATTTTGAGGTAATTTATGAATAATTCTAATTTAATATCTTAAACGGAATGTACACAGCCATTCCATTTTGAGCATGCAACCTCAAAAAGGTTCACCACCACTGCTCTATACAAACTAAATGTTCAAAATTATGTAAAAAGTAAACTTGTTTTAACTTCTAATTTTCACTTAATTCCAGAAGGGAGCATATTAAATTTTGGACCACTCAAATATGTAAAAGTTACATAGTAACTCTTATACTGTCATTAACATAATTGTTAAAATATACACAAAAGAAGAAAACCTGATTAAAAGACAAAATACAATAATATGTATAGCTAAAGTTAAATAGAGTTTATATATATAAATCAATATATATAAAATAAAAATTTTCTTTCTAGCTCGAGCAAGAGCAGCAATGGAAGCTCCATACAACAATTCCCGTTCATTAGTAAGTGCAAAAATGAAGCACAGTACGTGTGTTATGAGGTCTTCCAATTTATATCGGAGATTGAAAGATCATGAAATGGAAGAAAGGCGGAAACAGAAAGGACACACCGGACACCACAGTCGGCAATCGAGTAGAGACAGCACTCATTCGAGACACAGTCGACAAGGGAGTAAAGACAGTACTCACTCAAAATCCGGAAGCAAGGACAGTAATCCAAATTCTGATGATACCGAAAATTTCGGAAAAAGCATCGAAATATACGGCACACTGCCAAAGAAAGGTAGCCGTAAGAAAAGCTCTACTCCTACTGGCTCGCTCAAAGTTAAAGATGATCAGGTGTATAAAGACTTCTTAGATAAGCAAAGGAAAAATACTAATCTTTCAAATGCTCTGAATGAAACAATGTTAAAAAATGTGGATGTTCCGCAGACGCGTACTGATAGCAATTCAAAAATAAAAAATACTGCAAATGGAGAGAAACCCCATAGAAAAAGTTATCCCGAAGGACCTCAAAAACTGCCCACTCGAAAAAAAGATTCCTCCGCAAAGAGCGATCCAGAAACCAGGAGAAAATCTCCAAAACAACAATTTCCTGAACAAACTGTTTCATCATCCCCGATAGAAACTATGACGAGTGGAACTGAGATGAATAGTAAGGACTTGCTGTCACCAGTCACTTCTCCAGACAAGAAACAGCACAAAATAAAGCGAAAATTAATGGGTGGTTTCATGAAGCGTAAGAATAGAAGTTTACCAGATCTCCGAGAAGACCAAGATTTATCGGATCCAATGGATCGCTTTCTAGATGATGCAATAATCCAAGTTCCTTCGACCATGATGCTGCCAAATGGAAAATCGAAGAAAATCGAAAATCAAGGCGATGCCAGTATAGGCAATATCACTCGTGGTTTCCACCAGCCACATCATGCTTTTGTGAAAAAAGATTTAACGCAGCGGCCATTGTTAATGAAAGTTAATCCACCAAATGTACAGCCTGCCATCTTATCAAATCCTAAAACAAAGTTAGTCCATACACTGCCATCGTTACCTAAAAAAGTACAAGACGGAAATATCAAACTAGACTCCAATTCTAATACAAATATAAAGCCATCTAAAATACCTTTCATCTCAACCCTTCCAAAAAATGATTCGGGAAATCTACCACCAATATCATCACCCAAAATGAGTGATGTAAAATGTCCAATAAAACCTGCATTATCTCACAAAGCATCTGCAATACCAGTTCTAAGTCCACAAATTCCATTGTCTCCTATAAAATATCCACATCCCAAGGAAGATATAGAACCTATCAGTAATCCTTTGAGTCCGGCTGCAGATCATCAGCTAAATGAGATAGATGAACTGCCCCAGCCATCGAATCCATTTCTCGCAGAACTGCAAGCAAAAAGAAAGCAAGTTTTAAATAGATCGCAACAAAAACAAGATGTTACGGAAAAAGTTCAGTCTTCTTCTAGTACATGTGCAGAGCCAAACGAAATTAAAGAATTATCAATGCTTCCAAAATTAGCATTGCACGCAGAAGGCACATCTTGGTTAAAAGAACTCCAATCTAAACAGCAGCAAATTCTTCAGAAGCAAGATAATACGGCATTGTCAAAACAAGTCAGCATTTTGGACAGGCAGCCAATGAAGACTATAGTCAAAGGTCAGTTCCTGCATTTTGGATGTTTATTTACTTTCATATAATTTCTATTTCAGTATTTCCCAAACTTTTTTCCCTTGTGGAACACTTTCTAAGGTATAAAATGTTTAAGGAACACTAGAGTTAATTTGAAATTTTAATGATTATAAATCATAACACAGATATATTAGATAAAATATTTATTCCAATTTTTATATAATACCTATAACGTACAGGGTTTTTAATTTTATGAAAAATGGTACATAAATCTAATTAAAAGAATATTTTTAGTTTTCAATGATTTTGATGTGTTCAGGTCTTCGAATTACAAATTCTTTCAGTGTGAGGCATGATGTTAAAGACCCGAATTCTGATATCAGATGCAGCATCAAGTTTGTTTCTATACAGTCCAAAGTCTGTAACCCAGACATCCATTATCCGGAATAATCTATAATCCGGACCTTTGGATATGAATTAGCGAGTTCCAGATGAAGCTTATAGAGCTCATGTTCAATTTTGGATAACTGTTGACGTGTATCCCTTATGATGGACCGAAGTAAGGCTAGCTTGCTGTTTAACAGAATTCTCGAAATGTGACTGGAAGGTTTTTGATTAGATTAGATTAGATTTGATTTGAATGAAATTGGGGATCAATTTTTTACATTTACACTTAAGTAAAAAGTCAAGATGATTCAGGAATTTTGCCGTTTCAGGCGTAATTTAGTTAAACGATCAATGGATGAAAGCATGATAAACAATGCAGAAAATCAAACTAAATTTCACACTGAAATGAATAGAAAAAATATTTGCAACTAAAATGCATGAAATCAGATAAGGAAAGCACACTTTCAATTTTTCTGCTGCCAAAATTATTCAAAAAAATATCTTTGTCTTATCATCATTGGTGAACTGGATTTTCTAGAGGCATTTCACATTCAAAAAAAATCTTTCTGTTCTAGTTAACGACCCTAATTCGAATCCATCTTTGCCTTCAGCCTTTAAAGAAATTATGTTTTAGTTCTGGTTTCATTCATCAACAGATGGCGCCAGTAGCTTATCTCCTGTCCAGGTGTCTGTGTTATCTTATCCTATCGCGTTCATTTGCGCTTTTGCAGCTGAGGATGATAGTTCGGGAAAATCATCGAAACTAGTCTTGTTAAAATTTGAAAATATAACACTGATTTTTGTTGTTTGACTTGGCTTAATATGCCATGAAACATTGCCTGTATTTTATCACTTATCCCCCCTGTTTTAGTAATTTTAGTGTCTGAAAATAGAGAGGAAAAATTATGTAAATAATTTAATTTCCACAAGACGTGCTTACAGTAAGAACATAACAAATGAAAAGTAGCCATCAATAAATATTTGGCAACCATCAAAGTATTCTTTCTTTTTAAAAAAAAAGTACATTCCAGTAGGAATGCACAATTATGATATCTTCATTTCTACTACTCCTTAGACCTCAAACTATCTGTAAACAAAACGAAAAGATGAACGTGCTGCCGAATCAAAGAAGGTCGTAGACCAAATGTCAGTTCGTGTTTGCCATTTATGACCGGTTGATTCTTGTATTAGGCTGGGATAAAGAGTAACAGTTAGTCTTGCATAATTTTTGCAAGTAGTTTGCAAGGGTTTATCTTTTTAGTATGATTAAAATAATCATTACGTGGACAAACTCGCTATAAAATTTAAGGTTGCTTGTTCTTAGAATGCCTTGAGAGGGGGAAAAATTATGCAAATATTTTTTTAATTTTCAGAATCGGGAAGTAAAAAGCTGAGGCACGGACGGGTATGCAAGAAAATACAATAGTGACTATTTGCGATAATGCTGATATTCAGTGAAACATAGTTTGGGAAATGCTACTCTTTTTCATGCCTTTCATATTTTTGGAAATGTACTGAAAACTTTTTTTTTATTATTATTTCAGGTAATGAGATTATAACAGAAAATGCAGTCAAACCTATTGCAAAGAATTGGAAGGTAAAAATTCTTTAATTAATATATATTTATACTTTAATATTCTGGAGATTAAAGTAAATCAGATTACTTATGAATACACAAAAATTTACTTGAAAAGGGCACCGAATTTATAGATAATTTTAGTACAGAATTTGCAAGCACTGTTAGTTATTGCCACATTACTAAGTATGTATTATTGTGTTATATATCATATAATAAACTAGTTACTACACAGCCAGCCTTCGTCTGGCCTTTAAATGTACCGTAAAAATGCCTAAAGGGGACACCAAAGATTAAATTAACAGCCTGCACAGAATTTTATGTATATTATATGTATAAAAAATTTAAACTGTACCACATATTAATAAAATTACAATACAATTAGCAGTATCCCTTAATACAAATATTAATTATCCTAATAAATAAATTAACCAACTTTCCCCGTTGCAAAATCTTAAGAATTCAAATGGTATAAAGGAAGTTAATAACTTTGTTTCCTAAAAAAACAAGCAAAACTTTTTATATAATTAAAATTATATATAATTAAAACATAATATAAAAAATTATAATGAAATAAACAACAAATCTCATATTTTCAAGAGAAAACGGTCAGCAGTCCAGTATGAAAAACTGTTGCCAAAACCATATTTCTTAAAGAATGAAACTATTCAAAATGATGCAATTTCATCAAAAAAAGATTTTAAAAAAATCTGATTCTTATTTTGAAAACATTGCTTCGAGGTGCACTGGCTCTTGTCTAGATGCACCTATCTACGTACCAAATTTCATAGTCCTGGGTCTATTAGCTAACATGCAGCACGAACGAAAGACACACAGAAGAAAAGACTCTTTTCTTTTACTATATGCAGAGATAATACATTAAACAAAGGAAAATGTTCTAAACCAAAACCAAAATATGTGATGTAAGCTGCAATAACCAGTGGCAATATTTATAAATTTAAAAAAAAAATTTAATTCAAAACATATTCAATTTGGAATACAACGTTAGTAATAATTAAATAAATTTTTATTGCACTCATTTATTGAATTTCAAAACTGGACTCATTTTCTTGTTTTTCACATTCAAAGTATTTACATGCAGTATGCTGTTGAAAATTGATAAGTATAGAGAAGAAGTAAGAAATTTAAAACCCATTTTACATAAAGATCCAAATAAAGTGAAATTCAATACCAGTAAATTTTAAAATAGCTTATAAATATACAAAATAAGAATTAAAGAAATGTGAAATTAAAACCTTAAAATTATATAAATACCTGAAAAAATAAAGAGAAGAAATTCAATTAAATCCGATGTAACGTTACCAAGAAGAAACTCGATTGCAGTTTCTGTATTCAAAATTAGCTGATTAACTTACTGTAAGGTTTTTTAATTATGACGGTTCATCTGGAAATTTTCTCCTCGACACAAAAATTCAATGTCAAATCAAGTAAAAGCATAAAATTAGACTTTTTTTATGGAATTTAAAATTGAATTCAGTTTGAAATTCAGTAAGCATATTTCAAAATCAAAAGCATATTTTTTTGAATTACTATTTCAATTAAAAGCAAAAACCATTGTCAGAATGATTGAATATGCTATAATTCAAAATATTTATGAAAATGCATGCTATCTAGAGATGTAAAAATTAAAGACTATTATTAAATAAATAATAATAAAGATTTTATATTATTGTTCTTTCCTTTACTGCATCTGAGTGATGTTTTATAAATGGTGAGTTTTCCTCTGCAGTTTCATTTTATAACTAATTTTTGGACTTACAGCTGTTCAGTATAGCCAGTTTTAACAAAGCATGCAGATGAATTTAATTTTTTAAAACATTCTTAATAATTATTTATTATAGCATATAACTAACCTTTTCTTTCTTCCAGCTTCACTCAGAAAATGCTTCTGCTACAGATGTTGCAAGCTCTCCAAATACAGAATCCAGTACCGCCAGCAAAACTTCAGGCAGTGTCAAAGATCTTGCTTCAAGATTTGAAAAGGTTTTAATAAAACCCAAGGAAAGGATTCAGAGTACATTTCTAGAAGGAAATAGTACAGAACAATCTGGTATTCAACCTAACTCCCAGAAACAAAGTGTTCCTCCACAATATGCAGAAATAGAACAGAAAATCAAAGTTGTAGAAGTTGAAAGAAACACAGTTTCTGCAAGTTACTGTGATATAAAAGATGGTGCTAGTAGTCCTCTTTCATTAAAATCTGCTCTGAAATTTAAAATTGATCATGAGCAAGAGAATGAAAGTAAGAACTCAGAAGTTCAAAAAAGTGCACTTAATTCGGGCAGTGCTGCATTGCCAGTTAATGAGGCAAAAACTATTAAATCAGTTTTGAAACAAAGCAAGTGTCAAAATTCAGATTTTGAAACTTCCAACTGTGCAACTATCATACCATGCAGACCTATGCAACCACCAGATTATGCAACTGCAATGCAAAGGCTAGAACTCATTCGAACTTCACCAAATGATGTGAACCGGCAACAAACAGAACACAGTAGCCAAGTACTGAATAAATTGCCAGAATCTCCAAAGAAGAAGCAAGGACCCAAAAAAACAGTAACCTTCTCTGATGAAGTTGTTTTAGTAGCATGTGCAGAGTACGATGAAATTGATTTTTCATCGAATCCGCTATTTGAAAGAATCTATCAGCAACACGTGGAAGCCGGGAAGGGAGAAATTCCAATACTAAGTACGACTTACGGAAATGCAGCCACAAAAAGTAAGACTGATGATTCTGGGATAACTTCCAACATCGGGAACATTAATCTGACATCTCCTTGTAATTTGTGCCACACTAAGAATGTTATCCCACCAAACACATACTGCACGGACTGTGAATTTTACTTATCACGTTTTAAGCCATAAAATATGCAGTTTCTGAAGATTCTCTGCAAAGAAACTAAGAATTTAAAAAACAAATCCTAAAAATGTGTACTGTGATAAGAATTCAACGCACAAGTTATTTTTGGAGATATAGGTTGTCACAAATTAAGTAAATTGTGCTATATATGTTTTCGTGAATGTCCATGAAGTTTTCTAGAATGTTGATAGCATCCAGAAGAATCTGCAGCTCATGCATAGTGATAATGAAAATTAATTTATGTCCTTTAATTTCATCTTGTGATGACTTGTTTTAATTTGATCTCAGTGTTCAAAAGTGTACTTCCATTAGTATATAACTCCATACTAACATTCCATTACTGTACAGTTAAGTTCATCTCTATTTTGCACTGCAAATGTTGTTATTCAGAATATTTTCCTATTACCTGTGCCAAAGAAAGACTGAGATGTACAGTATTTTTAACTGTAATGTTTGTCCAGCTTGAGCATGTTTTTAATTAGTGCCTTAATGCTGTTAAATGCTCCTAAGCATACATGTAATAAATTTTGAAACATATACACCTTTATATTATTTTGTCAAAATTCATACATGGAAAAACACAATTTGAAAAATATAATCTTTATTGATTTGTAAAAAACAAGTAATAAATATATGTCTACCTTATATACAACATTATGAAATCAAGCATATTTGTACAATTGGCAACTTAAGAAATGAAAACTAATAGAAATTTCAGTCCTTTTAATTTATTGTTAACAGGTTCAGGCATGAGTAACTCTGGAATTAGAAAATTAGATTTTAACTAATTTCTTTTGTTTTTCTCCTTTAACTTGGCGACTAGACTTTCATTCTTCCAACATTCCTAAAAGGGAAGGAAAGAGATATGCATAGGAATCTACTTTTACAGAATTGATTCTCTTTAAAATAAGTTTAAATTGTTCTGAACAATTAGATTTGCACAGAACAACAAAATTGATGACAGCAAAAGTATTTAAATAAGTTCAGAAAAGCAAAATGTTATTTTGATAATTAATTATTAGATGTGATATAATCATAATAGAGATTTTGAATTATTAAGACAGTTTCTATTTTTACATTTTACCTCAATGCATGAACATCACTGCTTATCTAATTATCTCATTCAGTATATCAGAACTGAGATATTTATACTTATTTTTGCCATAAGTTTTGCAGTCTTTGGATGCTTTTTAGAAGTTTGTTTATAAATAAAATTAGAATTTTTTATAACTTTTTAAATCTAAAGTATCTCAGACCTTTTAGGTAGGTTAAAGTACCTCAGATCTTGTATTTTTGCACCATTTAGCAAAAAGGTGTATAAATAACAAATAACTATTGATTTCTAAATGAGATAAAGCAATGAAGACATGCTAGCATGTTGTGCAGTAGCACCACAGATCCAGGGTTCGATCCCTGGGCTGGGCAAGGTTCACTCAGCCTTTCATCCCTTGAGTGTGTCTATAAAATGAGTATCAAGTTCGCTTAGGAACTAAACACCAGGGGTCCACCAACAAACTGACCAGGGCATATGCTCATGCACCTCGGGGGCCCACCATCAAGAAATGGGGATATGGGGGCATTCCAGGCCTTGGCCCTTGGCTTACTTAAACAGCCACTGAGTTTTAGTTTACTTAAAGTCAATTCTTGATTAACAGAAACATATTAACCTATCTAAAAAAAACTTGTTTAATGCACGGCATCAATTAAAAAAATTATCAAATGCATTCTCTAGATTGAACTGAACCTGAAAACTTTTATGTTAATCACTACATAGAATATTCGTCTTTCTCTTTAAAAAAATGCTTTAACTGTTATTTTGAGTTAACTACAGAAGTCATCTGTAAATATTACCTGTTAATGTACAGTAGAAAAGAACCCCCCCTTTTTTTTTTTGAAGGAGGGCTATGCATGGAAAGCTACTTTTTCACCAATGTAAATAATTTTAGAAAGTTTGAGGTTTATAGGATGTTGTTGGTTGCCATTTTGGCACTGAAAATTCATACTTACCTAAAGTAGCAACTTCAGTAATTCTGACCATAAATTATCTATTATGCAATTCTAAGCTGATTTCCACTTTTAAAATAAAATGACTTAGAGTTCACCATAATAAGATGGCTGCATATTTTCTGAGCCTTTTCTTTCAATTATAAGCATAAGACACCAGTAATAACACTTCAGTCTGCTTGTGATCTTGCTATAAACAAACATCTATTTTGGTCAGGATCCCTGTATCATTTACAGCAGTGCTGAAAATAACTTTCTAACCTCTTAAGTTCAATTAAGAGATTTATTATTGTAATAAAACTTGAATGAACTAGCTAAATCTCATCTCAGTTTCAATGGCTTATCGGAGCATCATGGGCATCTATGCCAAAAAAAAAAAAAAAAAAAAAAAAAAAGCATGACGCACTGATATGTCAAATGTAGCCAAAGGGTTAAATATGCTTCAAGTGAAACAATTTTTTTTTTCAAATAAATGTGTACCCAAAGGGTTAATGATCTTTGCTTAAAAAATCTCTTTCAGCTGTCCTTTTTAATAATGAGGCATTTATTATGAAATTCACTTTACTACTCTTTTCCCATGAAGCTTTGAGTTTTCTTATTAATTGCTAGTATACAAAAGCCAAACTAGGTTCGTATTTCGACTTTTACTTTTTGCACAAAAACACTAAAAGTCAAAAACACTATTTTCAAATATAAATTAGATTCTAGGTTCCTAAAGCAATGCACCATAATGCAATATCGATCAAAAGGAAACAATGAAAATCAAAATGAATTAGGTGCATATGAAGGGAGGATTTTTAGCTTCTTTTTTAATTAAAACCTAAATATTATTTACATATAATATTACTTTACAAATACATAAGCTATGCCTAAATTCAATTACCGTATTTGACGGCATATACGATGCACTTTTTTTCCCTAAATTTGGTCAAAAAAAGTTACCTGCGTCTTATACGTGAAGGACACGGTTAACTTTCAATACTGAATGCTATTTTTAGCCCGGATAAAGGTCTAGACACACATAACTTTCTCTACATCTATATGTGTGTGGCCTTCTAAATAAGGGTATGTCTTATATGCCGTCAAATACGGTAAAAGAAAAATGTAAACTTATATAGTCCTATCGAATATTTCTAACATTCTGCATAGACTGAATTACATCATCGATTTTTTTATTCCACACGTCCAGGAAGGGAGCAAAAGAATCGAACAGACAGACTTGTAGTGCCATCTTTTGGGAATATTAGCAATAGTCGAGATCAACTCTGCTTGAAAATACAATCATGATTATCTGAATACTTTCAACTAAGGATAATTCCTTTTTCTTAAAGAGTGTAATGGCAGTTTATTCATTATTTAACAATTAATAATTTCAAAATTTTACTAAATATTGAGAAAGCTATCCATATTTCACTGATGACATCTGAGAAGTTACATGAATTAAGAGTAGTATTAGATATTTGGCCAGTCCATAAAATATTTTCAGTAATTCTTTCATTGTAAGGCTATGCCAGTTTCCAAATATATAATCTCCTTTAACTAAAAAATTATTATTTTAAACCATTTCTCTTAAATATTATAAATATCAGCATATTCCAGTATTAAAGGCTGGAATATGCTGGTACTTCTGGTACCACTACAGAAGTACACATGACAAAACTACTATCAAACATAAATAATCTTTTCAATCTAACATTTTTTTTTTAAATATTACAAATCTAGGTCATATTAACGTAGAAAGAAATCTTACCTCTTTGAAATCTTTAACAGTTTTGAAATATAGCCTTTGCTTTTCTATAAGGTCTAATAACTGATCATTCAGCATATCTCTATGTCGTTTCTCTTCGAGTTTCTTTTTTTCAATCTATAATAAAATAAAACAAATGCTTTATAATTCTTTTATATGTAGTACATCAAGTTTTGTCATACTCAATTCTTTATAATATTAATTCTTGTTTATTTAATTGATCATGTCAAAGCAGATCAGAGCTACTGGCTTAAGGGGAAGGAGTGCCTGCATATCATAGAAGACTTTTTTAGAAAACATGCCCATATTTGTGTTATATACAAGGAAAACCGTAAGGCCCATATCACATATGCATTTCTTTCACACAAACAACTGTTTCAGACAATTTTTCTGCCTGGTTTACTATTGAAAGAAAGATGCGTGATTTGACGTGTGTGTGTGTGTGGGGGGGGGAACCTGCAAGTCGTTCGTTTCCAACCAATAGGCTGTCAGCTTTTTTATAATGGAGAACCAGTTTTCCCTGTGTTAACCCCAAAGTGATCTGTGGTGATTGGCTGTTGTGACAAAGCAGAAAAATTGTTCCAAACAATTGTTCTTCCAAAACAAGCGGATATCTTCACCCATGCAGACAGCCCATTTATTGGAAATCAAACCTGGAAATAACAACTAGTGGTATTATCCACTTAGCAATGGCAGTCTGGCCAGAATAATTTGAGTACAATAATGTAATTTTTTAGTATTCTTAGAATATTCTAAGACTTCGTTTTTAATTAGACGTATAAGATGCTTCAAAAACATACAAAAAGTTATTTTATTATTGCATTACTTGATAATAATTATTGTCTTTCAAATTAAAAAAATAAACCTCTAAGAAACTAAATTACCCAGAGTTAATTTAGCCCCCAGAATGAAGAGAGTTAAACATATATGATACAAATTTTACAAAATGTATATACGAGGGCTATTCAGTAAGTAAGTAAAGTTTCCGCCTGACGTTGCTAGGCGCTCGCCGATCACGTATATTTTGGTGTCTGCATGCTCGACATCTCAGTCGGCGTCCAGCCATCACAACAGGAACATTTCCACGCTGCTGTTTTTTTTTTTTTTTTATATTCAAATTTAAAATGTGCGCTGCAATTGAAAATCCTGCCAGTTGTGAGCTGCGGTCTGTGATACGGTTTTGGTAGGCAAAAAACCTAAAACCTATGGAAATTTATCGGCAAGTGTGTCAAGTGTATGGATACTATGTAATGAATGGAAGTTTAATCCGGAAATGGTGCATTCGGTTTAAAAATGGCCGAACTAACGTTCATGATGAAGAGAAAAGTGGATGCCCTAGCATTGTGACTGACGAACTGGTCGCTAAAGTTGATGAAAAGTTTCGTAAAACCGCCATTTCACAATAACGAAGCTTTCAGTTAGTTTTCCACAAGTTTCACAGACTTTGTTGTTTGAAATTGTCACACAAAAGCTAGGCTACCGCAAATTTTGTGCAAGATGGGTGTTGAAATTAGCTTTGACATTTTTGGAGGCCTACAACAGACATGGTGATTCATTACTGGATCGAATCGTAACTGGTGGCGAGACACGTGAATTGCGAGATAAAATTGCAGTCCATGCAGTGGGGGCACACAAATTTTCCCAAAACTCCAAGGAAATGTTTGCAAACCTTGTCACCAAAGAAGATTATGACGACTGTGTTTTGGGATAGGCAAGGTGTGCTTCTGATTGATTTTCTCGAACGTGGTGCCACAATAAACTCTGAGCGGTGCTGTCAAACTTTGCGCAATCTTAGGAGAGCAGTTCAAAACAAGCACCGAGGAAAGTTGACATCCAAAATTTTGTTTTTGCACGACAATGCCCGACCTCACACGGCAAACCGCACTCAAGAACTCCTTAATTCATTCATGTGGAAGATTTTCTCTCAGCCGCCCTATAGTCCCGATCTTGCACCTAATGATTTTCACTTGTTCCAAGAACGAAGAACTGGCTAGCAACACAGCGCTTTGACGATGACAAGGAGCTGCAGGTGAGCATCACTGAAAGGCTGAGATCGCAGGCGGCAGAATTCTATGACGAACGAATTTCAAAGCTTGTCCACTGCTATGATAAGTGCCTCAATTTGTTTGGTGACTATGTAGAAAAGTAGAAATTTAGTCGCTCTTTCTGATGTATATAATATTTTTTTTTCTTATACTTAGTTTCTTTTTAATTCCAAAACGTTCCTTACTTTCTGAATAGCCTACGTAAATAACAAATCAAATACAATTTTAAATATACACTGTATTTATTCACTGAAAAAAAGATATATTTCTAGGCAGATATCTTTTTTTATACGGCTATATAAAGGCTTATCTATTTTATAAGGCTATATAAATTATATATAAAGATGAGGCTCAACTTATGCATTTTCATATTAAGTAAAATATTCACTTTTGGACCATTATTATCCCTCTGCTTTTTAGTCTATCAAGTGACCAAACTGCTAATCTTAAGCAAAAAAACTCTGGCTAGGAAGAGCCTAAGCTCACAGCTAAGAAACCTGCAGATGGATTTTATAGCTTTAAAAAAGAAGTCAAATTCCTCTTAAGTATAAAGCTCCAACAGAAACTGAAACCTCGAATCTATTCCAAAGATTCTGAGACATTGATTATAATCATAATGAAATGGTCCATAGGAAAATGAGAAATCTAACACATATTTTTGTAATACTCTGAATGACTACAAAATCATTCCTAAGCTATTTCATGACCAATAACATTGAAAACTTTATCATTATTCTTGAGGATGGATAGTTAAGATAGTTATCAAAGGACTACCTTCGAATGCTCTACATGTAAGCTCTTATGGAATAAAATTTCCAGTCGTAAAAAAACAACACAACCTGTTCAAAACTTTGGAATTTAAATAATTCTAAATAAGTCTGTAAACAAAATCTCCTATACTAAGGATGAGTTATATTACAGTCTTTTAACACAGTTATGGAAATCTGTAAGTTTAAACACAGAATTGCTCAGTATCATAACAACAACCAAACCTCGACTATCTGGAAAGCTTTGAAAATATCGAATTCTAGATATATTAAATGGCATTCTAGACATAACTGCTTAACATTATATTTGATTAAAAATTTTTATCGACCATAAAAGTTGGCAGTGATGATGCCAAATTTGTACCAGGCCTTTCCAACAGAAGTTTCAAGAAATAGATAGCTCTTTAATTAGTTAATCAACATATACAAAGTTATGGAGATAACATATAAAAAGTTTAAATCGCTTTTCATAACTTTTCATGCCACACAAATGCACATAATTTTTCATGCCACATGTGTTTATCCATTTTTATACAAGTTGCCAGGATTAAAAAAAATCCAGTAAATTTGCTTAAGGATCTGAATGCCATTACCCTGTAAATTTGAAAATATTCCATGCAAGGCGAATCCCACATTTTAATAATTTTTTCAGAGTGCAATTTAAAAAAAAATAAATAAACAGTTGACTTCATTTTTTTCCACAAAATTTAAACCAACTTATTGAGAATCATGTTTATGTAAAGCCACAGCTTTACATCATGCTTATTCATTTATTTATGATTTATTATTAGCAATAAATCATACTATTTGAGGGCATTTTTTGGTTGATTAGGTTATAAATATTCAACATTTGTTTCTCTGAAGTTATATACGTACTTTATAATGGAAGATGGAAGAAACTAAATTGTGTTCGTTAGTGCAAAATTTTAAGGAGTTCTTAGTTTGATTAACGTAAATTAAGCCACACTAGCAAGAAATCCTGTCATATCCAGAATGGAGTCTTTAAGTATAGAACTGTGAATTTTGTTGACAGATGAGAAAATGGCCCAAAAGTTAATTTCTGCACAATACGTGCAATTTTATAGTTAATCAATCGAAAGAAAGCAATGACAACAAAAATCTGGCAATCTCCTAAAATGAAAGAGTGCTTTTTGATATATTGAGATGAAAATGCCTTGTCAATAATGTTAAGTGAAAAAATCTCTGCCAAACACACCTGCTTTTAAGTTATTCAATTCTTGATCAAGACCTAATTTAGAAGGGCAAAATTGAAGTGCTCAGAACAAGAAGGGATAAAATTAAACTAACTTCTGTTAAGTCAAAAGAAATGATTTTGAAGTGTGGTGGGAGGCACACTTCAAATCATGTCATTCGCAGATGAATGTTGACAGTAAACAGAAGTACTGAAGTTAGATATGTTGTGTATGACCAAGATGTCGAGAATTGGATATCTGAAGTTTCAAAGTGAACTGAATAGCAGGATCAAAAGAATTCAAAATCATCAACAGAATTAGATCAATAGAATCAATATTGAAAGAACTTTATTTAAATCATCTTTGCTACCATCAAACAGAACAAAGGTACCATCAAGGTAGTGGTATCCCACAAGGAAGTTTAAAATTTCAAATAATTTGCATTCATATTAAGAGACAAAAGATGAAAACATCTTCCTACAGATAATTGACCAGTCTGATTTTAATATTTATTTTAAATGTGTTTGTTTCAGACCAAACTGAGTAAGTGAAATTATTTCAATAATTTCGATATGCGGAGACACATAATTCTTAAAGTCTGATTTCTAAACATTTAAGTGCACCTTCCACTGGAACATTCGGTGAATAATGATTTTACATCAGAAGAAACCATAATGAAATTTTTAGAAGAAATACTTTTCAATTTATAGACTCTATTGAATTTTTTATGGTGTAAGTGTCATTAAAGCCAAAATCTAGAAACTAAATATTCAACTAAAACAAACAATTTTTTATATTTTGCCACATATCTAGTTGTCAATGCTAAAAAAATATAGCAATCCTTCACAAAACAGCAACAAAAGGGAAACTTCATTGAATCTTCTTTCAGATTTTAGCTCATGAAGCAGATGGACCATGTGTAAAAACCCCAACTTTAGTATTGTTTAAATGTGTATGTTAGTGTGTAACCCTAGATTATATGATTTTGTTTGGATTTTAAAACTTGGGGCTTAATTTCTTACATAATTTCAAGCTTATATAGGTGAAAACGGAAATCTTGTAGCAATATTTCTCTAAATTTATATTTTAAAATTTGGAAAACTTTTGTACTGTTAAAATATTTTTTTATCTGTGTAAAGTTCAACACAAACATTTTTAATTATTTTTCAAGCATGCACACTGCTTCATTCTGATTTATAATTAGATGCAGATGCTTTTAATGTAAAAAAGGTTACCCACTTTGTAATGGTATAACAATTTAGCACACTAGTTTTACCCTCCATGTTGAACAAAAAAAAAAAAAAAAAAAAAAAAAAAAAAAAAGACTGCTCATTAGTTAAAAAAAAGATGTGTGACCTGGCACACATGCCTTTATGTACACTGCAGAAAAAAAAGGGCGGACAGTTGTATATCTCCCTTCTACTAAGCTGACTGATGAAATTCAAATTGGATTCTTTTATTTAGGATATGTATTAGATTTATATTTAAGCGTACTAATATAGGTATTTGGATACAAAATTGGACTTTTTCTGAAATGACATGCCAAATTTTTTTCATATTTCGATTCTTCGACTCAAATTATGCTCAAATTATTATTATAAGTGTCAAGTTTCAAAGTATTAGCTCTCCAAATTTCAGCTCCTCACTGTTTATTGAATTTGATATATATATTTATTAACATCTCTCTCTTTTATTTTTTTTTATTAAACTTACTTGATTCCTTCTTCCAGAATTAGAAATTTCCAGATATAATTTGCAGATTTTTTTTATGATTTATTTTTTACATTTGTATTTTTAAATATTTTTTTTTTTAATTTTTCGAAAAAAATTCTGTATTATAACATATAAAATTTTTAAGATCCTCTTAAATTTTTGTAGATGTATATACTGGAAAAATATTAGATTTTGTTATCCAAAATTTTCTAAGATATAAATGAATTTATGTATTAGAGGGTTTTGAAATTTGGCCTTTTTTTGGGGGGGGAGCAATAATAACACCAAATGATAATATGCACTTTGTTAAAATTTTTTGAAAGTACGAACAATGACTTTCCCCCCCGCTCGTCTACAATGAAAGAAAGAAAAGGAAAATAGGTTGCTATAAATTAAAAAGTTTGCCAAGTATATTTTTCTTCGCGAAAACTGGAAAAAAGTAAGTACCAAGGTAAATTTTTGAATTTCTCTGTAAATTTCACACTAAATTTTACAAAATTTAGTATCTAGGCATAGAGTCGTAGCATCAAAATATGGAAAAAAATTGGCGTGTCATTTCAGAAAAAGTTTGATTTTGTGTCAAAATACCTATGTTGGAATGATGTTGAATATAAATCTAATATATATCCTAAGTCACGCTTTCGAGACATGAAAAACGCAATTTCAATTTTGTCAATTGACCCAATAGAACGGGAGATATAAAATGGCCCTCTTTTTTTGTGCAGTGTACATATTTACAAATTTTATTTTAAAAGAAAGCAATTGAAAATATTCAAAACTAGTAACTACTAAAGCACAGAACAAAATTACCTTAGCTTTATTTTGTAAAATTCTTTCAACAATTTGTTCCAACTGAGCAAGAAATTCTCCTTTTGATGAAGATGAAGACATAGCCCTGTGGCAAAATAAATGCACTGTAGAAACATAATATCTAGTGAATGATATAATAATGACATATAAAAAGTTCTCCATACTGATGTTTCCATTAAGATCATAGAATATTCAGAACTTTTTTTAAAACTCATTTTAATCATTCTAATTCTATAAATCAGCAGAAAAAGAAAGGCAGAATTATTCAATATTCCTATAAAAAAAGTCTTTTAGTCAATAAAAAAACCAGTTATTTTTACATAAAAAACATATAATGATACCTTAAAACAGAATTTATTATGATTTACGTACTCATATTTTACTGTAATCTATTTAAGTATTTGTTCAATTATCTTTGGTTCATGAAATAAAAATATTACTCATTTTACAATCTGCAATTTTCCACTACAACTGTTTTTGAATGTGAAGGAGTAATTATACATTTTTTTCAAACAAGATTTGTTACAATCGAAAAAAGTGCAGTAGCAATCCAAGTTATCTGCAAGTACTTTGTAAATATATTATCCATTAATTATGCATTGATATGCTTTTTAGTTATTAAATAATTATTCCTTGCAGTTTTTGAAAACTTTGTGAAATACACTACAAAAAATTCCAAAATAGATTTGTCTCTCTATATATAATGATACTCCTTAAAAATAACTGGATAATGGATCTCAAAATAACTTTCCTTTATTTAACTATTTTTAATGTAGTGTTTTAACAAAAATAATGCTGAAATATTGGGTAATGAAAATATTTCCAAAATTATTACTGAGCAAAGGATTAATTTACAAGCCAGGATACTGTTCTGTTATCAGGACCATATTCAGAAATGTATGAATGTATGCATGTATGTATGTACTTGTATGTGCATATATGTGTATAACTAGGTAAAAAGAATATTCTTAGTGCTTCCGCTAAAAAGTTGCTTTGATACTGTGGTTCCGGTGAAAAAATTTTAACATAATTAAATAAAGTGCAATGAAAAGTGTAAACACTATATAAACAGTATTATCACTAGAATATTTACAAATAAAATTCAGATCTAATGATAAGTAATATGTTGATCAAAGTAAGGCAAACTTTAAACAATAGAATAAAAAGTGTGACATAAGACTTAAGTAAAAATACAAAAACAAAAAAGCGGGTGTAGGTAAATTAGCCCAATTCATCTCATTACTGACTTCAGGAGAAATTTATATGATTTTCGATTCCAGCTTAATTCCATTCGGTTTCGTCGAAACAGACAAACTGAAATGTACACGAAACTCTTTTTGAATATTAACTGAAAAAACTTAGTCAAAAACTATAGTCTCAATTCTCTGTTTCATTTCCTGACGCGTCCGTTTGAAAATGCAAATGAAAAAAACACATTAATGGTGTAAGAAAAAACTATATATATTGGCCTGGTTAGGCAAATGTACACAATAAAATAAAATAAATAGCGATTTGCTATTAGTCAAAAATACAAAATTTTTAGGGAGGACCTAAAAATCTTGTATTTTTGACTAATAGCAAATTGTGTATAACTATATACACACACATTTGTACTTACATGCATACATGAATACACACATCCATATGTACATTTCTGAATCTGGTCCTAAGAGAACAGTACCTAAAGAACAGTACCTAAGTCAGATAGTAACATCTGAAGAACTGATATACTAATACGCATAATTTTAATACCAAACCTGCACAATTTAACTTCTTATTTACACTGCTAGGTTTGTTATATATAACAAATATAATAAATACTGTTGATACTTAACCTTTACAAATATATTTAAAATCATAAAGGATCAAACAATCAACACTGAAAGAAATTACATCATACAGTCAACGTATGTACCATAAATAATAGATAGATGTTTCTCTTACCCACTTTTTATTAAAATAAATAGCAACGGATTATGAAAATCCTAGCATATTACCAAAACATAAAATTTTTTAAAATTTAATATTTCCATAAATATGGAATATTTTTAATAACTTGCTAATACAGTCAAAAGTCGTTAATTCGGACACCCATAATCCGGAATGATCTATAATCCGTTTAATGATCTATAATCCGAATGCGCGTTTAATGTGTAACGGACTGTATAAGCTAAGCTCTAATTATCTATTTCAGTTAATGTTGCAGATTGCGTTGTTCCTTAATCTTGATTTGGATCCGGCTTATTATTTTTTGCAGACTGTAGAGCAATTTATAAAAAAGTAAGCTTGAACTTTCGATTATGCCAAATAGAATTTCTGATATATATTTACTAATATATATGTAAAGGATCTACAAAGCGAAAGTAATTCGGAGTCCATTAAACAAAAGTGGAATTGATTCAAAATGGATAAGGGCATATCCTTTGTTTATCTAAACTTTAACGTTGTTTATTAATCTTTAACGCATGGGGGGGGTCGCGCAAGAATTGGAAGTGGTGTCAGCACATCCTTATCTTCAGAGCAGATGTTTTTATTTTATTGGCTTATAATTGCTTACTAAATGTAGTATTTCATTTCGTATACTCTGTTTTTGATATGATTTAAATCAAATGCCTCGTCATTATAATTAGCTTCCGATAGCGAGAAAGTGACAGAGGTATTGAAAAAGAAAAAATTTCGATTGACAAATTAGTCGGTTATTCTCGACACAGCAATTATAGGACTTGAACAGCGGAACTTTGTAACTGAACAAGAAATTATGTCTGTTTAGGGAAATTAAAGAAAGTATTATCACATAAAAAACGAAGTAACTTAAACAACTTACATTGAAAGAAATGTTAATAAAGTAAAACAAATAAATAGTAAGCCTTTTTTTTTTTTTTAAATTTTGATACCTTTAGATCATAATTGTTCTTTATTTCATAAATTACGGTTTCATATTTTTAATTTTATTTCTACATGCCATCTTACCAGATTAAACTGATGATCTATAATCAGGAAAAATCGATAATCCGGAATCGCCGAAGTCCTGACGAGTCCGGATTAACGACTTTTGACAGTAATCTTTAGCAACAAAAAATACCAAAGTACCATTACTTGCTAACCATTATATAAGGATGATAAGATGATACTAGCAGCTCGGTAAGAGATTTCTATTTTGCCACCAACCCCAAACAGAACACTGTATCTTTTAAAATTCACTTTAAATAAATAATTACTTTCAAAATAAGCTATGTTTTCTTAATATTTAAACAATTTATTTTGATATTTTGCCAACAACATTTATATATGTAATATTTTTAAAACTAGAAAGAAAATTTACCTTTTATTGACATGCTTGCAATAATCTTGCTACATTCTTTTATGTTAGAAATAACATATATATAATACTTACTTCATAAAGTTTTAAATGATTAAAAGTATATATATATATATAAACTTTAACAGACACTCCTATCTCAGATCTGATCAGAATTCATTTTAATTTCATTGAGTAAATAATAGATCAAATTAATACAGTTTTATCATGACACACACACAAAACCTTATTTTTGGGCATAAATGCGCTGGAGCATATAATATTGAGAATACTGAAATAATGGATAATATTAATGGTAGAAATGGAAAAACTGGTTTGCTGCCCTTCAATAATAAAAAAATTAGCCATAAATTTGATAAACTGACTAGGTTACTTACTCTGTGAAATTTTCTTGTATTGAATTAAGTAAGTCCACCTACAAAAGAAAAACCAATTTGAGAAATAAAATTACAATATGTACAAAATTCATGATTGAAGATTATTTTTTAATATTTTAGAAATTACTTTAATTTAATTTTTTTTAAAACTTTAAAACATTCTCCATGTATTCCCACAAGCCTTATATTTCTACATTTTTAAAAATATTCAATGCATTTCTAAAATAATAAGATTTTACAGAATTATTATCATTGCATTGTAAAAATATTTTTTTCATACTTGTGGAAAAGTACAAAAAAATAATATTTTTTCGATTATAAGAAAAAGTTCAAACATCACATCAAAAAAATACAGAAGCTTAACTCTGAAAGAAAACACTACCAATTCATTACGAGTGCATAACAATATTTTCAGAGAAATGGCAAAAATTCTTAAAGTTAACTATTAGAAAATTTTGCTATCACATTTACTATTGTGTATTCATGAAGAAATACATCTTTTGTTGGAACTTCTCTTAAAATATTACTTTGCTGTGTGATTCATCAAAATACAACATCTTTAATATTACTATTTGATTTTCTCTTACACTTAACCAAACATTAGCAAAGCCATATAATTAAAACAGTAATACCCTTTTCATAATGCAAGTTTTATACTCCTCTTAGTCCATTAAATAAGCTTTTCCCCAATTTTTTCTAATAAATACAAGGCACAAGATATTTTTAGCACAAGATATTTAAAAATCGACTTAAGGATTCTACTTCCTTCAAATTTCAGTCCCATAAACCTGTCAGTCACAAAGGCTACCCGAAGTTTTAAAATTCTTTCATTGTTTTAATCATCATTTTTCAAAGCACTGCCATTAACAACCTCTTCTATGATTTTGAAGTTAAAACAGAGAATTATGTTTTCCATCAACAGCAAACCTATCATCTCTAACCTTCATTTTCCATATACAATATAAAAATAATTACATAGCTTAAATTTCATTTTATGCTTATTTTTTTATAAATTTCAAGATAATGTGAATTAGTAAACACTGCATAATGTTTTCAAATTTTATGTACCTGTTTACTATGCAGAACTGCCAATAATAGAGATAATGGAACTGTCTATAATGGATATCAACAACAATTAAGGCACTTACAAGGTCTTTTGAATGTGTAAGGACTTTAAGTCACCTACACAGAAATCCCAGTGAAATTCAGTATAATATTGTCTTAGAAATACATTCTTTAGTCACAGAACAATTTATACAGAAGACATGTATGTTTTTAATATTTTTATTAGTATATTTCCTACAACTGGCTCTACATGAAATAAGAAAACACAAAACATTTCTTTGCACCCAGTAACTGATCTATTGATAAAAAAGCTTTAAATGATTAACAAACATAAAACTGAAAATCAAAATTTGATATCTGTATGCTGAAGCCACTGAAAAATATTTCATAGAATTTCCAAAACCCTGTAATAGCAATGATATTCTTCCTTTATTAAATTCTTATGCCCAAACCACCTTGACTCCTGCTACTGATAAGGAAAGACTTTGCAACAACTTAGATGTTTGACAAAAGTCTTAGTTCTTGTAATATGATACAAAGAACAGCAGTGTAATGGCACAAGTTGAACTTTGTTGAGGTATCTACAGAAGAAATACCTAACTACAGAGGTCAAGAATCTATTGATTCTTATCAATATCCTGCATTAAAAAAACATTTAAAGCAGGATATTGATAAGAATCAACAGATTGCTCATTTAATTATGGCTAAGGATTCCAAAACCATCTGTCTACAGAAAGATGACCTGCTCAAAGAAACTAATTCATGCCTACATCATATGTGGGAAAACCAGAAAAATACCCATACAGTTAGCTTATATCCTAGAATAAAAGTGCCACTGTTTCAAAAGCTGCCCCTTGATAAGTGATTGATACAGGACTAAACTAAGGAAACACAATTATATTAAGCTTCCCTATTGTCTAGTCATTACACAGGGAAGAAATAGTTATGTACTTGATTTCACTTGAAAGAAAAAGAAAAAAGGGAAAAAAAATGGCAAATTAGCTTTATGATCTGACTTTCATATTTAGATGCTTGATTTGCCACATAAAGATGATCATTAATTTCAGTTTTTGTAGAATTTAAATATGTAATAAAAGTAATAATGAATTAATCTTTAAGTATAAATATTTCTCAAGACTTCACCTAAGCTTCTGACAGCTGAAGAATAAACTAGAATTTAAATTTTAAGAACTTTTATGAAAATGATTAATTTTCAATAAGTTTTGGTCACTCAAGAGTAAAATTAAATCTGAGGTCATTTACAGAAAGAAATAGATTCACATAAAGAACTACCTGTTACTCCCAATTACTTCAAAATGGTCCAAAATATGGATTCTTACAATTCAATTTCTTGCATTCCAAAAGTATGGAAGATAAACAGTAAAGCAAATTTCATTCTTTGGAAATAGCTTTCTTCATCAAAGATTATTTAGAAGTTTAACATTCATTAAAGAAAAATAAAACAAAAATATGATGTGCACACCACGACTTGCATGAATTAAAAAAATATCCCAGTCAATTTTAGTCATACGATGTGAAACTTCTCATTTTAATTTTTCACAATGAATATAAAACTTTCGCCAATAGAACTATAGAGGCAGCCAAGAGATAGCATTAAAAGTCAGATTTCATTATTCCTCAAAAATTAATTTAAAAACAAATTTTTTTTATTTGGGTAGAAATATAAGGCTTATGGCCAAAACACGAATATTTTCATCATTTAACACAGTTCTGTAACTGGTATATGTGATTATGGCAAAGGCTCGAGGGCTATCTGCCTAAAAGGTGGGATGCCTTCGTGGAGGACTTTCTAAGGGAAACTGGCTTGTATACATGTTACATATGGGGAAAACCACGAAAACGCCCATGCAGCCAGGCCGTTTGTGGGATTCGAACCTCGGACCAAATTACTAGTGTTCAACAACTTTACCGCTCGGCCGCTGGTTGGCCGCAGTTCTGTAACTGGAAGTATATGACTAGAATCACAGACATCACACGAAAAAATCATCCAAATGGATATTTCGTTGAAATTCAATACTCAAATTTTTCATGATTACACTACTTCCTTTACTTTGTGCAAGGAAGTAAAAATCTAAGCTAGAAATGGAATAGGACTGAAAGAAAAAAAATGAAAGAATACTTATTCATCTTACAAATATGATGCCATATACAGATTGTAGTATATATAGACCATATATAGATATATAAATCAAGTCCAGAGATAAAGGAAGAATCTGGTAGTAACAAGGCCCAGGGAAAAAAAAATTCTGATGGAAATGTTTTCTTCTTTATGACTTGTTTTTATAAAAAGACGCCTTTTTGCCTGTTAAAAGAAAAAAAAAAAATTTTAAAGCAACACTTGAATAAATTTAATTTTAGCATTAGGATGCATCAAAATCCTTCTTTATTTCCTCAATCCAAATTCAATTGTTTTGGATTTAGTTTTTCATGCAGTTTGCTTGATTAACTATTTAAAAGTGGTTCTTACTGGAATTTTTTTTTTCATATGTAACATTAATTTAGCAATAAGTAAACAAGTAAAAAAATTAAACAAAGTGATCACATTACTCCAAAGATGTCTGAAAAGAAAATAACTCGAGATCAACTCTTAATTTAGCATAACAAAAACCTATGAATCCAATGAACAACTGATAATTAGAGGATTTAATAAGGAATTCTGTTCCGGTCAATTTTATTTAATTTTTAGACTGAAATTTAGTAATTACTACTAGATTTTTATTGTATTTAGTTTTATTTGCTAAATTATTATTAGTTTTGTTCATAATTTATATAGATTTAACTATTAAAAATGATTTTTTTACATAAAAAACTGGTACTGCTTAAATACTAAAAAAAGAAATCAAATTCTGGGGGTACGATAACCTTTAATTATTGTACTGAATAAATAAAGTCTGACTCAATGTCACTATAAGCAATCTTCAAAAGTTTTATATAGATAAATATTTTGCTTCACCTCTTTCATTATATACATCCTCGTGTCTTCCAAAGTATTGTACAAAGTATAAAACTGCTTTGTCTCCTTATGCTTTGCAGCAACTAGAATTTATTAAAAGAAAAATTATAAAAAAAAAAAAAATGAAAATAGTAACAATAATACATATTATGACAAACAATTTCACATACCTTGGTTGTATAATTCCACAAATCGTTTCTGATATTGACTCAGTTCTGCTCTTGATGGAACTTCATCAAATTTTCTTTGAAGTACTGCTATTTCTCTATTTTTCCTGGCCTTTGGAAACATAAAACTTAAATTCTGAACAAATGTTATGGTAAAGCCATAAAAAACCAATAATATAGAAAATATAATTGATAAAAATAAAAACTATTTTCATAAAATAAATCCCTTATGGAAATTAATAAAACTCAGTTTAGGTTATCTAATATTAGAAATAAAGTTAAGCCAAATGCAAGAAATTAATGGTTATTAGATACACGTACAGATAAACATACTGCTAGAAACTAAAAGCAAACATTAAATATGAAATAACAAGTGCAGGAAACACCTAATGAAATAAACATTTGTCACAGAAAACTTATTTCAATAATAAGAATGGCCCTGTAAATAACAAGATCATCATAGAATAGTAAATAAAAATCACACAAAATAAGAAAATGTCATTCATTTTTACAAATTTCAGTATTTTTGCAGCGATTACTATTAAGTTAATTTGATCACAATGATTATTTTATTACTTAGAAAAATCTACCCCATACTGATCACAGTTATAATTACTACAAAATTTAATTCTATATTATAATTTTGGTGTTTAAAATTATCAAATACTAGTCATTTCTAACAAGATGAAAAATATTAAGACAGAAACTGGGCATAAGGCCCCATTTATGCAATAAGTTCATGAAACTGAATTATAAAAGAAATTTTAAAATGTCAATTCAGAATAATTTTAATGCGAGAGCTATGAAAAATATTGTTCAGTTACCCATTAGTGAAAATATACCATTATGCGAAATGGTATATTTCATTAATGCAATAAATATTAGCAATACTGTTCAATATTCTGTAAATACAATATATGACTAGAAGTCATTGGACATCTTCCAAGATTTAAAATTAACTGGTCTTGCAATCAGTAGTTTCTCAGAATGTATAAAAAATAGCCTTTTGTCTTTTATTTATTTACTTATTATTATTATTTTACATTATAAATCTGACTGAAGATAATTTAGGCATGAAAAGTGACTTCATAAAAGTTATATTTTATGAGATATTACAATGACAGTTGTTAAGTATTTACACATATTCAATTTGATGATCTCAACATATAATAAAAGAAAGAGTCTGTCTGTGCGTGGCTTTCATCCGTGCTGCACATAAGCTAATAGACCCAGGGCTACAAAATTTGGTACAGTCAAAAGTCGTTAATTCGGACACCCATAATCCGGACCTCAAAGCTACAAACTTTCTGCGCATGCATCGCGTTGGCACATGCGCGTAAGACCTTTACGGCTGCGAATATGCGTGTGCGCAAAATATGTTTATGAATGCGCGTTTAATGTATATCGGACGGTACAAGCTAAGCTAAAATTATATAATTCAGTTAATGTTGCAGATTGCGTTGTTCCTTAATCTTCGAATTGGATCCGGCTTATTACTTTTTGCAGACTGTTAGAGCAATTTTATAATTATAAAAGCAAGCTTGGAAAATTTCGATTATGCCAAATAGAATTTCTGATATATTTTACCTGGAGCTGCCAAAGGATCTACAAAGGGAAAGCAGGTTTCGATGTCCACCAAACAAAAAGTGGAATTGCTGCATAAATTGGATAAAGGCTCATTTCTTTCTCTAACCCTTCCGAAATCTGTTTATCAATTTCTCGCTGCTCTGCGTGGGGGGGTGAGGGGGAACGTCGTGGGGCAGAATGAACTAGAAGTTGATCTGTCAGCACTATCCTTATCTTCAGGGCAGATGTTTTAATTTTATTCGGCTTATAATTCCTTACTAAATGTAGTATTTCATCTCGATGTACTCTGTCTTTGATATGATTTAATCAAATTCCTCGTCATTATATTCGCTTCCGATAGCGAAGAAAGTGAACACAACGAAAAAAAATTTCGATGACAAATTAGTTGGTATTTCGACACAGCAATTATAGGACTGAACAGCGGAACTTGAACAAGAAATTATGTCGTTTATAGAATTAAAGAGAAAGTATTATCACATAAAAAATGAAGCAACTTAAACAACTGACATTGAAGAAATGTTTATTAATAAAGTAAACAAATAAATATGAAGCTTTTTTTTTTGTAAATTTTGATACCCTTTAGATCATAATTGTGCTTTATTTCATAAATTACGGTTCATATTTTAATTTATAATTCTGCATGGGCCATCTTACCAGATGTAAACTGATGATCTATAATCCGGAATCGCCGAAGTCCCGATGAGTCCGGATTAACGACTTTTGACTGTATATAGGTGCATCTAGACAAGAGCCAGTGCACCTCGAAGCAATTTTTTTCAAAATTCGAATCAGTTTTTTTAAAATCTTTTTTGATGAAATCGCATCATTTTGAATTGTTTCATTCTTTTAGAAATGTGGTTTTGGCAACATTTTTTTCATTCAATGCTTTGTATACTGGACCACTGACTGTTGAAAATATGAGATAAAATATTTATGGCTTATTTCATTGTTTTTAAGATACTGAAAGGTTTAGCATGATTTATTTTTCAATGGGAAGTTGGTTAATTTATTCATTAGGATAATTAATATTTGCATTAATGGACATTGCTTATTTCATGCTGCTTATTTTCTTTCGATTTTTGGACACGCAACAGGCACATCGTAATCTTTTTATTCTGACGCACATGTGTCTCTCGAGGCACAGCAGAAAGAATTTCCTTTTTTTCCCATCTCTCTTTATTAGCTAATGGCAAAGAGGTTGTATATTTTGAATTATGTCATCCACAAAGCACAATTTTGATTCGTTATTGTTTTCTGATGATAATTTTATTCCTTTAGAAATGTGGTTTTGGCAATAGTTTTCATTCATTGCTTTGGATACTGGACTGCTGACTGTTTTCTCTTCAAAATATGGAATTTATAGCTCATTTCATTGTAATTTTTGCATTATGTTTTAATTATATATAATTTTAACTACATTAAAAAGTTTGCATGATTTTTTTAGAAAACAAAGTTCTTAACTTCCTTTATACCATTTGAATTCTTAAGATTTTGGAACGGGAAGTTGGTTAATTTACTTATTAGGATAATTAATATTTGAGTTAAGAGATATTAATTATTTCATTGTAATTTTTAATATATATATAATACACTTCTATTGAAATTTCTTTTTTTTTTTTATATAAACTTGTTCTGTAGAGTAAAATTCTGTGCAGATTTTAAATTTAATGTTTGGTGTTTTCTTTAGGATTTTTACGGTACATTTAAAAGCCAGACGAAAGTTGGCCACATAGTGGCTAGTTCTAAATACAGTACATCTTGTCCCCATAAAGAGGAAAAAAAAAAAGAGGAGACCAAAAAAATGACATAGAAAACATTAAAGGAGGTCTTGACATCAATATGTTACTACACAACTACATACATAACTCTACTGGAACCTTTACAGTCTGGTACAAGGTGTGTCCATGAAGTAACCAGATAATTTTTGATAAATAAGGGGGGGGGAATACTAACATTCAAATAAGTTTATCTTCTTCAAAATATAACCAGAGGAGTCACTACAATTTCTATCACATTTCTTCAAGTCATTGAAACACTCTTTATAACAGTCAGAACTAAGTGTTCTCAAGATATACATCACATATGATTTAATGTTACAGACATTTTCAAATCTCTGTCCTTTAATGATGATGGTAAGCTTGAGGGAGGAAAAAAAAAAAAAAAAAAAAAAAAAATCAGTTGGTGATAAGTCAAGAAAATATGGTAGCTGATTTATCATTGCAATTCAATGCTTAGGAAATGCTGCATGACGCTTAGCATTATTATGACAAAGCATAATAAGCTAGGCCCGTTTATTATGCATAATAAGCTTAAAGAAACCATTGCCCAGAACAAATAGCTCCTTCCTCTTTTCTCTTATCCAGTTTCTTAAGCAAAAAAGCAATTCATTTTCAGGGAGAAATTCATGGTCCTTGAAAATCAGTCAATCATCCTTTGGAATCAACAAAATTCAAACAGCATCACTTTAGTCTTTGATTTTGACATATGTGCTTGTTTTTTTTTTTTTTTTTTCTTGTTTTTTTTGGGGGGGGGTAGGAGTTAACGTAGAAGATGGTCCTTTCCACTGTGCACTTTTGTCTTTTTATATGCCGATTGTATTGTAGACACCAGATCTCATTTCCCACAATGGAATTGTTTCCTGTTTTGCAGTAGCCTGCAAATCTTCACAGAATTTTCTGTCAAAATCCAAGACACCGATTTTCAATTAAAATTAACCTAGAGCTTTCCTTGTTTATCCCAAGCATGTCTGTTAAGTTGCTGAGTCACGTCAATCAACTTTTATTAAAGAATGAATTTTCTCATATTTTCATTCTTTGAAGTTGAAGAGCATCCTATCTTTGGTTCACCTTCAAAGCTTTCGTGCTCACATTTAAAGCTGCTGTTCCTCTCATGCACTTGTGCCCTTTATAATGATGCATCACCATACGCTGCTCAAATCAACTCTTAATGTTTTCGCAGAAGATTTACCTAACTTGTAACAAAATGTAATGTTATAACGTTGTTCAATCTTGAAGCAAATTGTCCTGTATAATGCCTTCTCAGTAAATGAAAATGACTCGGGTGCTTTGATAAGTAGACGACAAAATAACCAGTTTAAACTGTCTTTGACAAGAGTTCAGGCAGCACCCTTTGTAAACATAAATTTATTCTTTCACCTTTTTATTTTATAATTTTGTCTTTTACTTTGTCTCTAACTTTAAGAGCTCACCTTGTACATTATTCACAAAGAATTTTTATGCCTTGGGTTCCCATGATCTAGCATTTACGCATGAACCACATATTAGTATTTTAAATGCCACTCATAGACTGGCATGATGCAACAATCTGCATAGAACAATATATTTGAAATGGGCATTGTAAGCTCATTGATCTATAATATCCGTATGTAATGACAGTTATGAAATCAACATGCGCATGTAGAGTTCCTGCTTGGAGGCCTAAATATTCTTCTTTTTAACCCTTTAACTGACAAGTTATTTGTCAATGTGACACAAATTGTCAATTAAAATGTGACACAAATTGTCACATTTTTTTATTGCAAAAATCAAATGTTTAGTACAAAATAAAATATACTTACTTAGTTAAAATATACTTAGTTAAAAATTGATATTTTGAAGTTCATGAGTAAAATTTTTAAAGTTTTGTAGCCACTGCATATTTGCTTGATGCGGCTGCCACTTAACATGGCAGTTGTAAAGTTCACTTCAAGTGAAGCATTATTTTCTAAAAATGGGGGAAAAAAAATCTAAAAAATAAATAAATGAACAAAAAAATAAATAAAAGTGAATACTTATTAGTAGTTCAGTAATTCACTCTTGTCTGGTACAACTGGAAACACTTTTCCAAGCATAAACCAATCCACAATCACTACACCAGAATCGTGTTTCTTTCCTTATCTTTTTTCCATTTTTTTCTTTTTCGAACAACACAACTCTTGCAGTCTTGTAGGCTCACGTTTCGCAGGAGTAGGAGAGGAATATGGGATATAAAATGTCGTCAGTAAGACGGGACAGCGTTATCTATTGAGGCCTTGCCAACATTCTTTGTCCAGAAGCTGCATCATCATATTTATGTAAAAGCTCTTCTATAACTTGCATTCGAAATTCTAAAAATGTAATACATTTCCCAAACTAATTTTTATAGAGCAAATATGAGTTCCAAGTACCTGTCTAGTAAATGTAAAATATCTTTTATAATATTTTTTCTGACTTTTCGGATGTTGGATGAAAGGATACCTAATCACAGTGATCTACATCACCCGTAGTTAGACTGTGTCAGAAACAATTTAGCTGAGTATATTCTCCATTTTTTTATTTTAGAAGCTGACCATGGAAGTATCATGAATACTGCTCAACAAACACTCATCCTTCATCTTCGATTGAAGAATATAAATCATCTACATAATTTTAAAGACTGGACGCCATTTTACAACAAAAAGATCCCGTGCACTTTGAACCAAAGAATGTAGAACCTCTAACCTTTAAATCTTCAGTAAAGTGCTGTCATTATTGATTGAGCAACACATAACTTTTCCGAGATGTAGTCGGGTTTTGACAGAGAGATGAAGCAAATAAACGTCTCAGATATATATTCAGGTATAACAATACGAGGCACTAAAAAAAAATTACCCCGAGTTATACTCGGGCGTGACATTTTCGAACATCAGTGCTATGCCCGAGATTTTCTCGGGCATGACAGTTAAAAGGTTAAAATTTTTTTTAATAAAAAAATATGAGTTGATCTCTTAATAAGTATAACTGCAGTTCACTATCTGTAAGAGTAAAATTTGTTAACAAAAGGTTTGCCTCGAAATTCTAGACTATCTATGTCTCGGTAATAATTGTTCACTACCTTTGAACAATCACTGCAACTTTAAAGCTTCTATAAAAACACGATAAAACATACTAAGCAACAATAGTATAAAAAGTATTATTATAAACAACTTAGCAATAAGTTGCTAAGTTTTTTTAATAATAATAGTGTAACGATTTGAAAATAATCACATAATATACTTTAATTAATCTGCTAAATTCCCCAAAATACCTGAATTTTAACACACAATATGATATTAGGAACCTCTATGCAGTGAAGCAAAAAGTACATGGTGCTTATACATTTCCCAATAATATCAAGTGATATGTGAAAAAGGTGGTGTTCCGTCCATAATAAAGCTTGGGTATGCAAAATTGTAATGTAATATATTAAAAAATTGCCTAATTAATACTTTTTATTGTTCTTGTTTTTTAAAAGATGATGAGAGTTTGTTTTTATTCCCTTCAAAAATATCATGAGCTATAAATTTTCCAATGTTGGAATTTAAAAATATTAAAGCTTTTGTTACCTCCCCCCCCAAAAAAAGAGGACTTTTTAGAGATTTAGAATAAAATTCACTTGGAATAAAAATTCATATTATTTTCATTCATGTAAAGAAATGCATGAAAAATTCTTAAAAAACTACTTAAAAATTAAATTTAAAAAAGTCTAAATGAATTTTAAACAAAATAACTTCAAGAAGCACATGGGCATTCTTGAAGAACTAAGTGTGCTGAATTTCACAGTTCTGAACCTATCCATATCTATACAATAAAACACAAGCAGACAGATTATTTTTAACTTAAACACTTTTACTTCGTTTTCTTAAAACACACATACATATAAAAATTAGTGGATGCCTGAGATATATCTAATATGAAGCAAGTAGTTTAATAAAAATACTCAAAATACAATTAAAATTAGAAAAAAATTCACATGAAATATAACAAAACTCACAAATATAAATAAAAGTATTTTGCAGTTTAACATTTAAATCAATCCTAGCAAAATTTTAATATTTATTAATAAAAGATGATATAAAAATAAAGTTGTTATACCAAGAAAAGCAATTAAGTTCAACTTACTAAAAGCATTCGTATCTTTTGAAGCTTTTCTTTATCTGCCAAATACTGTTTTTCAACCATTTCTTGGTGTCCGATAAAAAAGGATAAAAAAAAACAAAATGACTACACTTTTTTCTCTTCTATGAAGAAAAATAATTCAAAATAGTTATATATACATATAATAATAAAATTCCAATACACTTAAAATTCTAACTGTATGTTCTTTTCAAGAAACTTAAAATTCTAACTGTATGTTTTTATTTTTAATGGCGACAGTTCTTATTTGAAAGTTACGTGGATTAAATCTCCGCCCCGTAGTCAAGTTGTTTTTCCGCCTTTTCTACCGTTACAGTATAGATGTTTGGGATATTTTAAGCGAACTGGAAGCTGAATCATTTTTGGAAGTTCCGCCTTCCAAGGCTATAAAAGGACGCAAAGGAATATCGAGTCTTTTCTTTAATGAACGATGCAGTAACTTATACAAAAAGCTATTGGTAATTCTTTTTATTTACTCCGGAAATTGATGTTTGGAACTGTATTTCCTGAACAAATAATAAGGGTCCTTTTTCTAACTTACGTCGATAATTAAGCCGATAATCTATTTCTTCACCATCTATTATTCCAGAAAAAGCGTATCACAACATATATATTAAACTTCTTTCTTTTTCGCATGGTATTTTAATTAAGTTGTCCTATTATGGCTCTTGTTAAAAAATAATATTTTTATCCAAGGTATAATAAAAAAAAATGCGAGATTTTTATCCACTTTGGATACACTTGCATTGAAAAAACAATTGAAATGTTTTTTTTGACTCAGACTGTTTTCCCAAGAAACTTCTCAACTGGTTACACTCCTGTACTAATAAATTCCTTATCAAACTAAAAAAATTCATTCAAGAAAGCTACGACGACATACAAATCATTAAAGACATGATTCTTGATTTTAGTCTTTTCAGACTCTCTAATAGTCTCACTCAACGCAAAATTTATTTTAAAGTCAATTTTCTGCATCCGCAGTTTGACAATATTCATTTCTCAAGAATCATCAGAGATTGTAAAGATTACTTCCCCGCAGTTGACACTATACCAATGATTGCATTTAAATATCAAAGGACCTTAAGCAACTTGCTTACTAACCACCATGAAATAGATGAAACTGCAGAATGACATTGTAAGACACCAATTTACAGCAATTACGTAGATTCTCATCACCAGCACATAATTACTGGCAACCTGAATATCATACAAAACCATCAACTAAAAACACTAATGAGTTATGGTACAAAATTTAGACCAGTCAGAAACATGACTACAAATTACTGTTACAAGACTTTCGAAAACAACATCAACGAATTTATAGTTAAAGCAAGCTATCAACTGAATTTTCCCATAGATACCTTCTTAAAATGGAAAGCTAAAATTCTTCAACGCATATCCACAGAAATCAGTCACCTCAAATTTAAAAGTACACTGAACTGGTCGCAACTTACATCTGATATTAGTAAATTAAAACAGCTTTTTACTATTACAAAAATAGATAAAGCAACTAATAACTTTAGCATTATATGAAAAAACAATTCTACACTGAGATTATTCATAAAGAACTTCTCAACGCAACTACTTATCAATCAGCCAACCTTACAGAAACATCTATAATAAACAGGATTAAAACTTTTCATAAGAAACTCAATATTACTTTCAATGCAAACTACAACAGATTTACTAATCTTTATGCGATTCCCAAATTCCATAAAACACCATTAAAATTTAGATTTATAGCTAATGGAACTAATAATTACAAGAAAAATATAGACTATTATTTTTCAATTCAACTTAATAAAATCTGTAAATTTATTTTCAATGATTGTAACACTAATCATAACTATTGCTGGATCATTCATAATAACACTCCTGTCATTAATACCATTCATACCATTAACATCCAAAACATTAACTGCTATGATTTTGAAAACTTATATACCTCACTTCCTCTAGAAGAAATCTATACCAGTCTACTTGATCTACCAAAACTTTTCCCTAATATACTCAATATCATGACTCTTGACAAATGGAAAACCTACCTAAAATGCACACTTTTTCATAACTACATCAAGTTTCAAAATCAACTTTTTAAACAAGTCAGAGGATTGCCAATGGGCTTACATTCCAGCACCTCGATCTGTAATATCTTTTTATTTGTCAAAGAATTTAACTTCCAAAAAAAATCTACAACCACAAGAGTTAAATTACTACAAACACACCTACAGATTTATTGATGACCTTATTACAATTAATAATTTTGGTAAAATTGAAAACTCCGACATTTATCCGAATTGTCTTAAACTTAATAAAACTAATAATTCACAAAATAGCATAGACTTTCTAGATCTTCAAATCATTAACTACAAAAAATTTTTACTTTTTGACAAAACAAGAAACTTCAATTTCAATACTAACAAATTAATAAATTGGAACTCCAACATATCCAAAAAAGTAATTAACAATACTATAATTAATCAAATACAACGAATTAAAACTATATGCACAGATACAATAGATTTACAACGCGAAATTTTGATCCTTATCAAAATTCTCAAAAATAATCTAATTCCCTTTCAATTTATCAACCATTGCCTTAAAAGAGCAGGCGTTAAATACTCACTCTAAATCATTTAACTGATAGGGATATGATAATTTATTCCTAAACCTGAGAAGGCGGTATAAGTTGGATGACTGTCAGTTGAAAGATTTGTATATAGTGTAATTACTCAATTGTATATATTGTAAAAAGCTAATTGTCTTCAGACATATACTGTTACTAAAAAAAATGGGCCTATTTCCTGCCTTTAGACTGTCTACTAGCTCTTGGATAGCGAAAATGCCTTTTTCCTTTCTTAAATTCTTAATCATTGCGACACGACAATTAGCCAGAAATTAATTAATTTCCATTCACTAGTATTTTTAAAAAAATCTTAACAGACGGTCTCTCTCAGATAAGAACTCCACAAAATACATCCCTCAAGAATTCCAAGTCCCACCCACTACCATAAATTTCTTCACCCAAGTCTTGCCGACTGATATAATTCAAAGCCCCTACTGCCGCTAAGAATTTTCGGACACCCTACACTTCTGAGTCAGACACGAAGAGAACACACTGCCAACTCCCCCACTAGAAAGAATGTAAGTTACTTAATACCTTTCTGGCCTTTATATCTTCATGTACATTCACTGATCTTATTTATATTATTTTCTATTTTATTTTTATATTATTTATTTTTATGTTCTCTTTGATTTGTTTTTGCAAAGTTTGCATTATTTATCTTTTTTATAATCTTCTATGTTTATTTCAACTTTACTTTGATTTCGATTTCATAATGACAATTTCCAATGTTTAATTTCTACAAATAATATAGTACTCAAATACATAAAGATGATAGTGTCGGGGACGATTACTCGAGTTTTACAAGATTTCTCTACAGTAATTGATTTTTACTCCAAATTGAATTGACTAAAATG